TTATTATATATAGCGCTGACATGTACCATAGCCCCGCACACTGTTATTATTATATATAGTGCTGACCTGTACCATAGCCTCGCACACTGTTATTATTATATATAGCGCTGACATGTACCATAGCCCCGCACACTGTTATTATTATTATATATAGCGCTGACCTGTACCATAGCCTCGCACACTGTGTTGTTATTATTATATATAGCGCTGACATGTACCATAGCCCCGCACACTGTGTTATTATTATATATAGCGCTGACATGTACCATAGCCTCGCACACTGTGTTATTATTATATATAGCGCTGACATGTACCATAGCCCCGCACACTGTGTTATTATTATATATAGCGCTGACATGTACCATAGCCCCGCACACTGTGTTATTATTATATATAGCGCTGACATGTACCATAGCCCCGCACACTGTGTTATTATTATATATAGCGCTGACATGTACCATAGCCCCGCACACTGTGTTATTATTATATATAGCGCTGACATGTACCATAGCCCCGCACACTGTGTTATTATTATATATAGCGCTGACATGTACCATAGCCCCGCACACTGTGTTATTATTATATATAGCGCTGACATGTACCATAGCCTCGCACACTGTGTTATTATTATATATAGCGCTGACATGTACCATAGCCCCGCACACTGTGTTATTATTATATATAGCGCTGACATGTACCATAGCCCCGCACACTGTGTTATTATTATATATAGCGCTGACATGTACCATAGCCCCGCACACTGTGTTATTATTATATATAGCGCTGACATGTACCATAGCCCCGCACACTGTGTTATTATTATATATAGCGCTGACATGTACCATAGCCCCGCACACTGTGTTATTATTATATATAGCGCTGACATGTACCATAGCCTCGCACACTGTGTTATTATTATATATAGCGCTGACATGTACCATAGCCCCGCACACTGTGTTATTATTATATATAGCGCTGACATGTACTGTGTTATTATATATAGCGCTGACATGTACCATAGCCCCGCACACTGTGTTATTATTATATATAGCGCTGACATGTACCATAGCCCCGCACACTGTGTTATTATTATATATAGCGCTGACATGTACCATAGCCCCGCACACTGTGTTATTATTATATATAGCGCTGACCTGTACCATAGCCCCGCACACTGTTATTATTATATATAGCGCTGACCTGTACCATAGCCTGCACACTGTTATTATTATATATAGCGCTGACATGTACCATAGCCCCGCACACTGTTATTATTATATATAGCGCTGACATGTACCATAGCCTCGCACACTGTGTTATTATTATATATAGCGCTGACATGTACCATGCCCCGCACACTGTGTTATTATTATATTATTATATATAGCGCTGACATGTACCATAGCCCCGCACACTGTGTTGTTATTATATATAGCGCTGACATGTACCATAGCCTTGCACACTGTGTTATTATTATATTAGCGCTGACATGTACCATAGCCCCGCACACTGTGTTATTATTATATATAGCGCTGACATGTACCATAGCCCCGCACACTGTGTTATTATTATATATAGCGCTGACATGTACCATAGCCTCGCACACTGTGTTATTATTATATATAGCGCTGACATGTACCATAGCCCCGCACACTGTGTTATTATTATATATAGCGCTGACATGTACCATAGCCCCGCACACTGTTATTATTATATATAGCGCTGACATGTACCATAGCCTCGCACACTGTTATTATATATAGCGCTGACATGTACCATAGCCTCGCACACTGTGTTATTATTATTATATATAGCGCTGACATGTACCATAGCCCCGCACACTGTTATTATATATAGCGCTGACATGTACCATAGCCCCGCACACTGTGTTATTATATATATATAGCGCTGACATGTACCATAGCCCCGCACACTGTGTTATTATTATATATAGCGCTGACATGTACCATAGCCCCGCACACTGTTATTATATATAGCGCTGACATGTACCATAGCCTCGCACACTGTATTATTATATATAGCGCTGACATGTACCATAGCCTCGCACACTGTGTTATTATTATATATAGCGCTGACGTACCATAGCCCCGCACACTGTGTTATTATTATATATAGCGCTGACATGTACCATGGCCCCGCACACTGTGTTGTTGTTATTATATATAGCGCTGACATGTACCATGGCCCCGCACACTGTGTTGTTGTTATTATATATAGCGCTGACATGTACCATGGCCCCGCACACTGTGTTGTTGTTATTATATATAGCGCTGACATGTACCATGGCCCCGCACACTGTGTTGTTGTTATTAAATATAGCGCTGACATGTACCATGGCCCCGCACACTGTGTTGTTGTTATTATATATAGCGCTGACATGTACCATGGCCCCGCACACTGTGTTGTTGTTATTATATATAGCGCTGACATGTACCATAGCCCCGCACACTGTTATTATTATATATAGCGCTGACATGTACCATAGCCCCGCACACTATTATATATAGCGCTGACATGTACCATAGCCCCGCACACTGTATTATTATTATTATTATTATTATTATTATTATTATTATTATTATTATTATTATTATTATTATCCGCACACTGTGTTGTTGTTATTATATATAGCGCTGACATGTACCATGGCCCCGCACACTGTGTTGTTGTTATTATATATAGCGCTGACATGTACCATGGCCCCGCACACTGTGTTGTTGTTATTATATATAGCGCTGACATGTACCATGGCCCCGCACACTGTGTTGTTGTTATTATATATAGCGCTGACATGTACCATGGCCCCGCACACTGTGTTGTTGTTATTATATATAGCGCTGACATATACCATGGCCCCGCACACTGTGTTGTTGTTATTATATATAGCGCTGACATGTACCATGGCCCCGCACACTGTGTTGTTGTTATTATATATAGCGCTGACATGTACCATGGCCCCGCACACTGTGTTGTTGTTGTTGTCATGTTCCATAGCACCGTACTGTTTGACAACTGTTATTATTTAGATAGCGCAGTTGTGAGGATTCGGAGTTAAAGCTAGCATAACTTGGTTCCATACATTATGCGCTTATTATTTATAGATCACCTTACTATGTATCATTATATTTAGCAGCAAACAGTATATTTATGTAGCTCTAAACATTGTTATTACTAACATTTTTTTATGTATCTCCTTTCAGTACATTATTGTTTATGTATCATCTGACAGTATATTATTATATGGCGTCATGCAGTATGTCACTTATTATTTAAATAAAAAATTATAATATTTGGTATTGGGCATATTACATTGACTGAGAAGACTGTATTTAGTTACCCTTTGAGTGGGTAAGTGGTGTTGGTGATTACGCATTGATTGGTCTTTTCGTAGACTTGTAATGACCAGCTTTGGCACCTCTTTCATGATGCATCGTGTAGTCTGCAAACTCTCTGTGTCAGTCAGCCATCATGTTGTTTACGCTATAACTGTTGTTTGTTTTTGTTTTGCTTTAAACAGGATGTGCTTATCATTCTTCTGGGAGGGTAAAGCGGTCATGATCAGCACGGACACAGCACAAGCTCACACGGCCATGAAGGGCAGGTATGATGTTCCTTGTGCATTTACACAGAGCTGTGACATAGAGGAATTATTGTGTGTGTAAAATTACCACTCTGGTCAACACAACAACTTCATCACAATGAAGTGTTCATAGGCACTGTCTTATCGTAAGGAGTTAAACCGCTTCCAAACCTTTAAAGAACACACCGGTTCATTATGCCCAGCAATTTATGAAATTCCAGGTTTCAATCAGCTAGCCTCCCACTACGGGCCGCTGGTGCTCTCAGCCTGTCACCAGCTCGCCATTTATAAAACCAAGTAAAAAGCAGTGGTTAAACGGTTTAAGGGAAGACTGCTCCCCCAACATCTTGGCACCATTACAACTTTATTGTTACACTGGTATGCTGCCCCGAGTGGTCTTTTAAAAAAACATCTTGTAGTGCTACGGTTTACTACCAGCTGGGAAACTGACTTTTGGGGAAGGTTTTCCATGGATGTGCAGACCGCATGTCTTTTTTAAAATGAATGGTATTGTGAGCATGAATCATCTATACAGTTTCATATAGACAGTGCAATGAGTCTTCCCATGATGTTGAAGTCATGATTGTCATAATCCTGTGCTGCTGATGCTGGCTCTGCAATAGATTTGCACCAGGTCAATAGGATGTGGAGCTGTAAAGAAGCATGTTACTGTGATTCGATAAGTGCTACCCCTGAAACAGTCATTGGTAAGTGCGCAGCACGCCTAGAATACAAGCTCCTATTCATGATGAAGCTGGTCTTTTCCAAAGGGCATGTTAAGGTTATAGAGGACAAGAGAGTGGCACAATCCCTAAAAACTCCTGAAGCATCCCTTTCCATCTGTGTGTCTTGCTTGTAGGGCTTTCATTGCTGCACGTTGTCCATGTAGGTGTCGTGTTTCTGTAGAACAAAGTGCTTGCTGCTGTGAGACTGCAATGTGATCTGCCCGTTTAATAATAAATTGCCTGGCATCTCCTAGACTGTGCAGAGACTGTCACTGATACCTAATTTTCCTAGAACAGGCTTATATGTAAACTGTTAATGTTCAATAAATGAACTGCTGATCTCTTAGTGATCACAAAAGAAATCTCTTCCAACTTCATTACAGAAATAGCACACTTTAATTGTGGCATATAGACTGTGCACACTACAGACACAGTAGCTCTGTACTCAGGGCTTATTACCTATTGTAGTGTGTGTGTGTATATAGTTTTCATAACCCTGATTATTTTTTATTTCGTTGTAGCGCTGCTGTATTTTCAAACCAAGGCAATCCTTTCCCCAGCCAAGCTCGAAGTAAGACGCACTATCGCCCGTCAAATTCCCAGCTGCTGTCTGCAGAACTCAAGAATATTGTGAGTGTGCAAGAAAATGTCCTCCCCTTTCTAGACACCGGGAACATCATTCTGTGGTTGGCAGTCTATGCACTAAATCTCCCATCAGCCTACCTGTGCCATCTCACTTGATAATACAGGCTGTTGATTCTGTTTTACCACGGTGTGCTGCATTGAGGATGAGCTGGGGAGAGGCACAGTTGTGTTTTTTTTTTATTTATTTTTTTTTTTTTTGTCAAACCTAAATGCTTTGGCAAAATAGTGGAAAAGCATCCAGAATCATAGCTCCATAGACATTGCACCAAGCAGGAGAGGGAGCTGTAGTGGTTATGGTGCTTATACAATTCAAAGTGAACATCAAACTAACTATGTAACTTCAGGTCAAATTAGCTGATTTGGAAGAAATCTGCAACTCTCCTGATTCCTGTTTGGCCACTTTTTGACATACATTTCAAGTTCATTTTGAATTCCCAGTTTTGTTATTAACCTTGCAGATTAATGGCAAGAGAGCCTGTAACATGCATTATATAGCTATTAGCTAACACAATGATTAATTCAATCTGTGCAGGTCATGTGGCTGTCACCAAGGTGTGGGGTCACTTTTTATAATTCAGAATTACTAAAAGCTATTCTATATGTTTTCAGGTTCTCAGCCCAGATCGCATCCGTATGTTGCCTGCCTTTCTGTCTGACCCTCTGAGCCCTCCTGATCTGAACTTCCTACAGGGTTCTCAGCAGTTGGTGCCAGGCCCTCCTGCATCTGACTCCTCTGAACCTTTTAATGAATCCTGGCCATCCACTGAAGGCAGCTCTTCAAAGACCCCAGAGCGAGATGGACCATTCTCCTCAGACATGCCTCACACGGATTCTGTGATTGCAAAGTGATTAAATAACCTTCTTTATATCCGTATGACCATGTTTGGATATGTTATCCCCTACCCCTGCAGATCACTGTGTATCTCAATGTTATAAAATTTACAGATTATATCCCCCTGCACTCCTGAACATTTTCTGAGAATCTCTACTGATTGTGGTTTTATTTTTCAGCCAAACGTGCAATACTGCAATACAATTTTCAGTGCCAATGATTTTGTGAAATGTTAGGAATTTTATTAAAAGGTACATAGAATTTCCTTTTTTTTTGTTATTTTAATTGAAGTTCAAGATTTATTGGTAACTTTAGTTGTATAAGAAAGCACTAGCATAAAGGAAAACGTGCACGAATACATCATGTTTCAGCTGTGATGCGTGGCCATATTGGCAGTTTGTGGAACCCTGCATTAATCTTCTCTGCTTCACAGGTATATTGCAAGGTTTCGAAGTGGCCTTCCCACAAGCCGGTTGGAACGTTCTCCACCAAAGGTGGACATGAAAGAATTCTGGTGGCTTCAGACATCACCTGACAGCCCCGACACACAGAGGTGCCAAAATGAGCCAGGTGAGATTTCTAGCCTAGCGCGGCACGTGATAGGTGACTGTTTCGTATGCAGACTTGACATGAAATGGTCCATGGGTTCCCTCAGAGGTATGGGCTCGACCAAGGTTGCCTAATGGTTTCATGGCGAGAGAGCTATGTATTGATAGAATGCTGATCAGAGTTAGGTTGAATCTAATCTGTGAGAGAACCATTCTCTTCTGTGTTATTTTTCATGGGTTGATAGGTTAATAGGTCAACAATGATAGGAAGGAAGTGCTACTACATTAACCAGTTCAGTTAGATATGATGTGTCAGTTCCAATTCCAAGGACACTGGGAAGGCTTTATTGAGGATATTTTGTAGCATTAATATCAATGTATTAAAAACAAAGCAAGAGTCATTAAGCTAATCTTATAATTGAAGAAATAAATTCCATATACATAAAGATGGGTCCTTGCCATGCGCTAGTCAGCTAGCAGACCATTATTATCTAGCAATACCTATTCCTATACAGAATTACCTCGCAGAACAATGACACAACGTTTTCTTTTCAAATGTTTTAATGTGCAAGTCTAGGTGTGAAAGCAAAATTTGGTTTCTCCCTTCAAGACCTCGAGAAGACAACTTCACTTGAGGTAACTGTGCTTGTTTAATAAATGCAGGTTTTTATACCAATGTATTCAAGATATTTGGGGAGATGGAGTTTTTTTTTTGTTTTTTTGTTTTTTCACTTTGTCTCTAATTTAGGATGTATCCCTGAGTGAGTCCAAACTCTACTCTGAGGAAGCAGACATTGTGACCCTGCAGAAGAAAGCAGAGAAGCTTATATCACAGAGGTGAGGGGCTATATACTTGATCCGATTCCAGTGGATAACACGAGGGCGAGAAACCTTGCATGGAGTGTTAGTTATGGATACCCAATATGGTTCTGGTTCTGATGTTTCCATCTTTATTTATCTTTGTGGACAGCGAATCCTCTGTCAGTAGTGTCGGTGCTGTAAGCTCTGAGGGCCTGGGATTGTCGTCATTGTCTAGCATCTCATATCCGGGGTATGATTCCTGCAATTCAAAACAGCCCATAACGCTACAAGGTAGGAACCAAAAGAACATATTGCATGGATCTATAGACTCTGGAAACAAATATTCTCTCCAACAAAGCAGGTTTTTATTATGTGCTTGGCGGTATCATTAAATGTTGACTCAATAGTGATTCTCGCTGACACCCTTATTGCATACCTGTGCATATCCTCAAGGATTTCCTGGAAAAATATCCGCTCTTCCATTGACACTCCTTACTCTTCCAGCCACTAAACTGGATTGTGTAGAACCATTGTGCGTGTATTCCAAGTAAAATGTATGATATTGGACAGCCATATCTTCCCTCTCTCTACCACTAGCTCCTAGTACCCCTATCCTGCACCCTCCAATTACATTGATACAGCCAACTTTAAGAGCACGTCCGGTTTTGGCACCAGAGGAGGACATTTTGTATCAGTGGAGGCTGCGCAGGAAGATGGAACAAGCGAGGGAAGAACTCCCAACTTATGGAAGGACACCATCCCCTTCAGTCCGCATTCTTACACCAGCCCCTGTAAGTACTAACAATGGAATTTACAGCTAAAGCATTTTTATTTTTGACGTAGGGTTGAGGGAAGACACTGTTTCGTGTATATGTTAGTGAGATGCACACAGAGGATCTGAGCTAAAACCTGATACTACGCAGTATTATAGATATACATCATCTGTTTAATAAAGTGGAATGTTACTTGTCTGACTCTGCACAACTAGATTGCAAACTAAAAGTAAGCTACGAGTTGTCTTTTATAACCTCTGCGGTGTCATACACACTAAGAGCAGTTAATATACTGCCTGAGAGGGCATGTGCCCTGAGCCACACAGAATTGTCGTGGTTTCGTTTTTTTTGTTTTTTGGAATAAGGGAATGAGGAATGGTCAGCAGTGAGATGCATAATAAAACCATAAACTGTCAGTCTGCAAAACTATACATAAAGCAGCAAAAGGAATCACTTTAAATTGTCAACTTTCAGATATTCAGAACTGAGGTATTCCCTAACCCTAGTGCTGCCATTTCAAAGCGAATTGAAAGGAGTCTTCCCACTAATGCAGCGCACTATGATATGTAACACATTGTAGCTGAATGCATTGCAAGCTCTGTTTGTTTTATGAGGACTCTAATAAAGGTTTATAGTATTTTCCAGTAGACGTACACACAGTTTGCTTTTCTGCTCTCCTCTTCAGAGCCGTACTGCAAATGGATGTGATAGTCGTAATGATGCTGTAAGCTGTGATTTAACAGTGTTTGTATTGTGTACTTTAACGTGAAATACAGAAATGGGGCACCCGAGGAGAACTATTTATTTATCAGGACCCTGGATATAGCAGTAAGCAATTGCGATTTACTAGTAATTTAACACATTGTGTGTTTTTATTTTTTTTAATTTTTTTATTTTAGGTAGTTCAGTCGGCAGATCTGATTGTTTCCGATTACAGTGGACAGTCTCAAAGGCCAGCACAGGGCCCCGTTGTTCCCAGCCCAAAAGATAAACCGAGTAGAATACTAAACACTGGCCCATCAGGTTATCCAGTTTGCAGTCCAGCTCTCTCTACTCCTTTCAGCTGTCCTGTCATCCCCCCTCACCTGCACCATACATGTGATATCCTTCCATGTATACAGCATCAGCAACCCTCACCCAGGACACCAGAGAGAGACTCTAGTACACAGAAACTAACGCAGACTCCAGGCCCTGCACATTCTGCACCAGCTGTGGAAAGCCAGGAGAAGAGACCTGAACGGGAACCACAGAATGTGCCCTCAAAAAAAACATATGACAAAGATTTGAAGAGACTGTCACGACGCCATGAAAAGCGAGTAAAGTCTAAAGCACCGGGAAGCAAAAAAGCTGAAACTGGTCCGATGGAAAAAGTCCCTGTAAGACAGGGGAAGGCGGCTCCTCCAGCATCACCAGTACACAGCATCATGGGACAGGTGAGACTAACTGCATCTGGTAACATAGTATCTGAAAATGGCAAAATGCTGACCATCCTTTGAGATTGCCCGTAGTTTCCCACAAGATGCATTAGCAAATCCAGCAAGCAGGGGTACCTCAGGAACTTCATACACCTTTAAATCGTTGGATCGAGAACCAGAGTGCTCAGAGACTCCTAACACCATAACCACTACAGCAGTCTGACCATTGGCAGACCATTTAAGGACCTGGTCATTTAAAGACCTCTCCACTATACAGGCTACTCCTAATCTAAATGTCCTGGACATTATATTCTATTATTATTCTGCATGATTGAGAATGGTGGGAGTTGATGTATGTAGTATCTCTCGTTACCCCATTAGACTGTGGGACTAACTGTTGGTGTAAAGGGAATACCTATACTAAACATACTCCACTCACAGAGCTGAGAGTGATGGAAGTAACATTCCACAGCATCTCTAGTGTCCAACAATAGTTCTCATAGATTCAGTATAGTGATGGTTCTTCGTTTCAATGGGTAGAGCACCATTACAGCACATGAATGTGAAGGCCACCTGTCCTTGGCAGACTAGCTTGGCTCTAGAAAACATTGAACTGCCCCATGGAAGGAAGGAGGACTGCATCACATTGTGCTCTGGTTTATCATACATTGAAATGTGAAAGAGGAAGAGACATGTAATGAGTCATTGATAGCGTGAGCCATTTATTTATTTTTTAAACTTTTAGTTTGTATCTTACCTTGCAGTGCAATCCTTTTCTAGTTTAAATGGTCTCTCTAAGCACCAAAATCACATAATCGTATCAGTGTTTACATTTTACAATCCCCACATGTCTAGCAGCTCTCATTAGGACAGTCATTCGGGTATAATCGCTAATTGAATGTACTTTATGCCTGGTGTAGGCATGGAAAGTACGCTGACGCTGGGTCCTGGGTGTGTATTCATTGCTTCTCATAGGGAAGCATTGGCATTTCTCAGTGATTGCTATGCATATGCCAAAAGATCTCAAGCTTGATGATGTCACATTAGGAGTCTGTAGCAACACTGGATTACAGGTTAATTAAATTGTGTTTTTAAAGGGGTGTTTTGTGGGTTTTATTGTGTTGTTTTTATGTTTTTTTTTTTTTGTTTTTTTTTACTTTTTGGTACCAGTAAAGTGACGCAAGAATACATCTAATTTAAATGAAAAATCCTTTAAACTGTTCACCAAATATGTTCTCATAGCCCCCTCCAACCGCTACCACCAGTGCAGGATTCTGAGCGTTCATCACCATAGCTGCAGGAGTGTCCTTCATTGAGCTATTTGGGGATTTCAATCATCACATGCATAGCTCATCTTTAAATGCTTCCCATCAAGGTAATCTCAGAAAGACTCTTCTCACCTCAAGCATCTCCTAGATGGAAGTCCGAATCGGTACAAAGAGCCTGTACGCCCGAAACATTGGAAATCGCTGCTCAACTTCTAGAAGAAGCAGAAGGTACCTGTCAAAGTGAATGTTCTGTTATTACTGCTTGTTTGTTACTTGGAAGCACATTAGATGTGTGAGAACATCCTATAAATACCAGCATAAGATAATTCGGATTGTCTCGTTTCCTAGAATCTGATGGGACGGAGTTTGAGGATGACCCTTTGTTGGGTGTTTTGCGGGAACAGAGAGAAAATCTGAGAATGAGACTACGGTAAGTAAAATCACTTACAGACATGGCCTGTTTTGTAGCTCAATGGCGACTTGATTAACTTTGACCATCTCTCATGTTTCTAACCTGCAGAAATGTGGATAAAGTCCTCGCTGAGATGGAGTCCAGCAGTCAAGCAGAACAGTCACAATTTGACTGACTTTCTATATGTTTAACAGTAATTGTATTATGTATTTTCGTAACAAATCACTTTATTTATATACTTTCCAATAAAAAAAATCCATACTGTAAATAAAATCTTGCTTTTTGTCTAAAATGTGTGAATGTTTCCTTGCTTTCCGTGGCATTAAATGAACACTCCAGGATCCACCACACTCTTAACATTACATTTACATTAAAGGGACACTCCAGGAGCCATCACAATCGTTACATTTTTAGAGACAATGCATTTTTTACACTAAAACATTTATGTTGTGTAATGTTTAATTTGACACTCCGGTACTGACTGTCAGGCCCATGTTGACTATAGAGCGACTTCTTACTTCCAATCCTTCATGTCCGGTGCCGTCCTATACAGCATGAAAACTGCTAATGCTCCGCATAGACACTGTATTCAATCTTTCTCTGTGTGAGAAATGTTTGATTGGTGGAGCACAGGGACTAATCTACCTTATGTCCCCAGTGTTTCTTTATGAACACATGACTTAATCTAAGTAGTATCGGACGCTATGGGCAGTATGCCCTAGTTCTGATTTTATTACTACTTCAGTAATCTAAAATGGAAACACAAACAATCATGCTTACGTTAAAATGGTACTTATTTTTGATAAGGGATTCTTCCTATAAATGAAAATTTAAACCTCGGAGGTTAATAAATGTACAAAAGTTGCTTGCTGAGTAACACTGGCTTTGTGCTGTGCAAGTGGCTTCCAATGACTTGTGTGCATGTCATGTATTTTTCCCCATGTGGACAAGATTGGACAAATCTGAACTATCCTCTCTCATCGTTTTAGGAATCCTACGCCAATCGGTTTCTGATATTCTGTTTCCTCTCAAGTAGGGAGTGGGGGTTGCTAAGATGAATTGAACGATGGCATTTAGTCAGTGACATGAGACCTTAATAAGCCACATAATTATAGAAAGAAAATAGAATATCTAGAAAGGCATTTCAACAATGACAGGACGGTTGGACATGTTTGGACTATTGAACAGTCTTGTGCATCTTTGTGTTACACGTTTGTTACATCTGGGATTTAAAGCACATTGCTCTCATTGGAAGTAACTGATTATTGCATCCGAAGTGGGAAGGATGATAATGTAAGTTTTGTTATAGAGCTCAGTTATTTGAGGAGACTGACCTGTGGTTCTTACCACATGCATTACAAAGCTGTGTGGATACTGTGTAATTTGTGAACTGCCAGCATGCTGACCACAAATCTACTTCCTGATACAAACTTTAAACCAGGGGTGGAGAACTGCAGCAAGTTCTCCACCCCTATATTTTACATGTATAGATTTTTGTAACCAAGTTAATGTTTGTTTTTTTTAAGTTTTTGCATAAATTGTTTTACTATATATTTAGAAATAGGTCAATTCAAGCCTGGGGTGTCTCTTCAATCCTACTTTAATAACTCCATCATAGACGTCTCAAACATTCTTTAAATCAAAGCTGCATTTGTATTGCAGCACCCGCTTAGCTCCCCAGGTGTCACTGTTGACAGATTTTTTTTTTTTTTCCACCAGCACCGGAATGCCTCTAAGCATTGCTCCTTTGGTTATTTACCCCATATGGTGCCTGTATCTCACTGAATTCCCAAGGCAGGCTTTACTGACAACTCAAAGTCATGGTACCGACTGTCACAGTAATCTGAAAACTCCTTAATTAGCCCCCCTGCATTGCATGGTATTGTGGCTGCTACTCCTAATGAACCTCTTTGTTATTTAGCCATGTTGCTGCAGCATAGCAGTGACTCTTACATACAGTTGTGCTCAAAAGTTTGCATACCTCCTGGAGAGGAGACTTAGTAATATATGTATTCTGAATACATGAGTGAGCAGGCACAACACATTTCTTTTATTTCCTATGGGATTCATGTTCAACTTTAGGTTATAACAGAATGGCACAATCATAAGAAAATAATGAAATGACCTCTTCAAAAGTCTGCATCCCCTTAGTTCTTAATACTGTGTATTGCCTCCTTTAGCATCAATGACCACATGCAGCCTTTTGTGAGAGTTGTTAGGATGATTCTAATTCTTGCAGGTGGTATAGCTGCTTATTCGTCTTGGCAAAATGCCTCCAGGTCATGTAAAGTCTTTGGTCGTCTTACATGAACTGCATGTTTGAGATCTGTGATGGCCACTCTAGAACCTTCACCTTTTTCTGCTGTAACCACTGGAGGGTCAACTTGGTCTTGTGATTAGGGTTGTTGTCATGCTGGAAAATCCAAGAGCATCCTTCGGGCAGCCTTCGTGCAGAGGAATGCAAATTGTCTGCCAGTATTTTCTGATAACCGGCTGTACTCATCTTGCCATCAATTTTCACAAGATCCCCGTGTTTGTCCTGTCTCCCCCAAACATCATATACTTCACAGTGGGGATGGTATTTTTATCACTATAGGCCTTGTTGACACCTCTCCAAACATAATGTTTATGGTTGTGATCATAAAGCTCTATTTTGGTCTTGTCAGTCCTAATTACAGTGTGTCAGAAGCTGTGAGCCATGTCAAGGTGTTGTCAGGCACATTGTAACAATTCTTTCTGGCAACTCAACCATGATTGTGCTCATTGAAACAACCACACAGTCTTTTTCCAGAGCAGCCTGTATTTTTCCAGAGGTTACCTGTTCGTTTTTCATTGCATCCCGAACAATTCTTCTGGCATTTGTGGCTGAAATCTTTCTTGGTCTGCCTGACCTTGGCTTGGTATCAAGAGATCCCTGAATTTTCCACTTCTTAAGTGATTGGCTGGCATTTTTCAAGGCTTTGGATAGCTTTTTTTTTGTGTTTCCTTCTTTTTCAATTGACCATTTTTATTAGTTTTAAAAATAGGATGCAGAAAAGAAAAGGGGAGGTGGTGTGCAAAAAAATGTACAATTCAGCATTATCAGTGTAATATTACATCATGGGAGTGTCACACTAAGGTACATTACACCATTTCTAACCAATATTTGCTTGTTAGCTTTAGTTCCCATATAACCACATTCTCCGTTGTCCCCTCCTGAGCCTGTTGAGGTATTCAACCCGTTGGGGTATTCTAAGTGAGCGAAGTAGTTTTTCCAAGTATCCTGTTTCTTCCCGGTAGGTATGCTTCATTCACAATACATTAGATAAGGTCACACGGTTCCCATCTATAGTGATATATCATAAGCTGTACAAAGAGATGATCTCTGTTACAAATGTCAATAAGACTTAGTGGGTTCTGTGTAGGCTGAGAGTTGTTACCCTAGTAGTGTTTGATGATGTACCTGGGTCATTATCTTCGTGTTTTGGGAATCAACTCGTGAGTGTGTGGACTTCTGCCTATGTATGCAACATCCCCCTAACTCGATTTAGATACCTGGCCTCACGGCAAGTCTGTACATAAACATAAGATACAAACATAAAAGCAATATATTAAGATATTGGCTGTATGTAGTCGCATTTAGTATGACTGTGCTCTATTTACCGAATATTGTAGATATCTTTTGTGACAAACTGAGCTGCGTCATTTGTTCTTGGAGGGGCCTGCTGGCCAGCCTCTTACCAAAAGACTATGGGCCCTTAAAAAAAAAAACAAAAAAAAAAAACTATGTGAACAGACTTGGTTCGTGGGATTTTATATTTGGTTCGAGAACCGAACAGCCGCATGAACCAAAGGCCACCCTGGAGCTTGTTAAGCCTAATTGTTACTTTGTAGCAATTTCCAAGTGTTCGTCTGGGTGACCGCAATGCCTATGGACGACCACGAGGTGGCGGCCATCTTGTTCACATGAACGCAGGTGTTTGGGCATGAATCTCATGGAACTGAAAACTGACTCAGAAACTCCCGAACACCGCTGGACTTCCAGCATTGCCTGCGTTTCGGTTCTACAACACTTAGAAAGGCGCTGTTCGGTGGAAACGTTCCCACGAACAAAGGGGAACAAGCTCCAGACTATTGACTCTGTTCAGTAATTTGTTAGTTTTTTAAAACTACCGAACTAGACCAACTGCAAGCCCTGATTCTCTGGAACGGTTTTGGGCATTGACTTCCTGGAAAATCTTGAACCTCTGAACTGATCTGGGTGATTTTTGGATATGTTGGTCACCCAGATCAGGGCTATCAGGGGATCTAACATTTGTGGTGATTTTGTGTTTTAAGGTATTTGTTTTGTTTTTTGTAAAAATGTGTGGGGTTTTTTGTGCATGGAGATAATGGAGTTTAATACAGTCCTTGACGCAATTATCTCCCAGGCATAGGGGAGGGATTGACCTGTTTTGTGTGGGAGTGTCCTTGGACCTGAGAGTCAATGTAATGTTTTTACTGTAGTCTACGCTCAGGTCCCGGGGGGGTGGGGGGGTGTGCCCCTTGCATGGGGACCCGCATATAAAGGCCAGTTGTGGCTGCCATAAAAAAAAATGTTGTTTTACCCTTCATGTAGTCTAGGCTCATGTTTGGGGATTGGAGAGCTATATTCACTATACTTCCTTGGATCACAATGATTGCTCTTGTAAGAGCAGCCTGCTTCACTCTCTGGACTAGGAGAGGTCTACCCACTGGAAGATGGATCCTGGTCTAGGGTGGGTGGAGGACAGCGAGACTCCAACCAAGCTGCGGCAGTTTGTGGGGTTTACGGTTGTTATGGTGTCATGTGCAATGCTTTTGGTACTCTGTGATTACTAGGAAGCAGCGATTGACGCAGGAACCTGGTCGGTGTGCCAGGCGGTCAGTCACATCTTTTATATCCTTTTTGATCTTTATAAAGTATCATTACCTTGTTACGCAGGTATTCTGACAGTTCTTTTCTGTTCCCAATGGCTCAGTATCTAGCCTGCTCAGTGCATCCACATGAGAGCTAACAAACGCATTGACTATTAATATACAGACACTAATTGCAATTTAAAAAGCCACAGGTGTGAGAAATTAACCTTTAATTGCCATTTCAACCTGTGTGTCACCTTGTGTGTCTGTAACAAGGCCAAACATTCAAGGGTATGTAAACTTTTGATCAGGACCATTTGGGTAATTTATTATGATTTTAAAAATCATATTTTCAAAATCAATGACATTTCATAATTTCTGTCACTGTATGGAAAAATTTGAGCACAACTGTACATGTGTTTGCCTGTCTGAAAATGAAAAGACTAAATTTAATATTTACTGCACCTCATTTTAAGTCTGAAAACAGGAGCTTATGATTATTTCCTATCTGAAAATAGAGACCACTGTGTCCATAGACTGTTATTAACCCACCACATGCTGCACATTAATAAGGGGGTGGGGAGGAACAATGGGTCTTGGTACCATCAATATTTGTTTATTATTTAACCTGCATTTTGCAGCCTATGGCTATCCACGTGCACTGAATTCCAATCTAGATTGTAAGCTCACACGTCTCCTACTGTATGTTTGTCACATTTTGTTTTGTCTCTTATACTTTATACTAATTGTTCCCATGGACAGCGCTGCGGAAGGTGCTGGCGCTTTATAAATAAAGTTATAATAAACCTGATTTATTAACCCCCCCCCTCCCCCCACCCCAATCACACTGGGAGTTATGGGACCAGTCACCCCAATCTTTAGACTTATTTCACAGCCTGAGGGATAGGGGCTCTGGGGAGTGCTATGAATGGCACAGACTGAAGGGCAGCATTTTATTACCACCCTACTAAAGAAGGAGTTTATATGTGACCATGAAAGCAGCTAGAAATGTTTAATAGTTTAAAATGCAATCAAATCAAATGATCCTTCCTTTAACTGGAAATGGGAGAAGATATCGCTTTGTGTTTGGTTTAAACCAAAACTGTCTGAGTAGGCGTTTTAGAAAACCCAAAACACAGCAAGATACTCTCCATTTGTGTGTTCTGTCATTCAAGCCTACGGCCTGGCAGGAAAGGGGTTAACCAAGCATTTCCCTTTAAGCTTCTGGACAGCTTCCTCTAGATTAGGCAGGAGAGAGATCGGTGCTTGCAATACCGTGACATCGCAGGCAGTGCATGACAATCCGAATCGTATTGTGCTACCAGACAGGTAAGGAAGCCCCCCATCTTTTATAACTCATACAGGGACTAGCTCAACTGATCTAACTGGAAACTGACCCTCGTTACTAAAAGTCTTTTATCTGTTTGCCTCTGTGATCAGAGCTCTCTTTAAGAGACTTTAAAAGATGCTTCATATAGAATGGCAGCAATTTTAACACAGCTCTCTGTTAGTGGCTGCAAACTCTCAGGATTACCCACATTAAAGTGTCAGCTGTCAGGAATTCAACATGTGTTCAAAGCATTTTATTCACTTTGTATTGTAAAATTCAGGCCAAAATAGCCAACTGTGATTATACATCAGTTGGAGAATTTCCAAATTTGCACTTTTTTGACATTTCACAATTCACTTTTTAATTTACTGGAAAACAGAATTTAGTGAAAAAACTCCAGCAATTCATGAATAATCCTGACACAGTTTTTGAGGTGAGTTAGAATTGTTGGATTCCTCTTAGCCTGCCACTACAGAGTGGGATAATCAATCACTTACTGTCAAATATCTTCAATATAGGTAGTCCCTGCTGGAACAGATTTGGATCATCCCTAAATCCTGCACAACTGAAACTTGAATACATTTTATATACATCCCATGTAATATCAATTTACTGATTTTCTTTACAAGGGGGGGAAGAAGGGTCTTTAAATAGTTATGTCCTGTAGAAAGTGGTAGAGTTATTGATAAATCTATAGGGGCAGCAATACACACCGCGTGGGTCTAATATATGTATCAAATAAATCTATAGGGGCAACAATACACCCAGCGAGGGTCTTCTCTATGTATCCATTAAATCTATAGGGCCAACAATACACCCAGTGTGGCTCTAATCTCTGTATCCAATAAATCTATAGGGGCAGCAATACACCCAGCGTGGGTCTAATCTATGTATCCAATAAATCTATAGGGGCAGCAATACACCCAGCGAGGGTCTACTCTATGTATCCATTAAATCTATAGGGCCAACAATACACCCAGCGTGGCTCTAATCTCTGTATCCAATAAATCTATAGGGGCAGCAATACACCCAGCGTGGGTCTAATCTATGTATCCAATAAATCTATAGGGGCAGCAATACACCCAGCGTGGGTCTAATCTATGTATCCAATAAATCTATAGGGGCAGCAATACACCCAGCGTGGGTCTAATCTATGTATCCAATAAATCTATAGGGGCAGCAATACACCCAGCGTGGGTCTAATCTATGTATCCAATAAATCTATAGGGGCAGCAATGCACCCAGCGTGGGTCTGATCTATGTATCCAATAAATCTATAGGGGCAGCAAAACACCCAGCATGGGTCTAATCTATGTATCAAATAAATCTATAGGAGAAGCAATACACCCAGCGTGGGTTTACTCTATGTATCAAAAAAATATAAGGGCAGAAAAACACCCAGCGAGGGTCCAATCTATGTATCCAATAAATCTATAGGGGAAGCAATACACCCAGCGTGGGTCTAATCTATGTATCCAATAAATCTATAGGGGCAGCAATACACCCAGCATGGGTCTGAATCTATGTATCCAATAAATCTATAGGGGCAGCAATACACCCAGCGTGGCTCTAATCTATGTATCCAATAAATCTATAGGGGCAGCAATACACCCAGCGTGGCTCTGATCTATGTATCCAATAAATCTATAGGGGCAGCAATACACCCAGCGTGGCTCTGATCTATGTATCCAATAAATCTATAGGGGCAGCAATACACCCAGCGTGGCTCTGATCTATGTATCCAATAAATCTATAGGGGCAGCAATACACCCAGCGTGGCTCTAATCTATGTATCCAATAAATCTATAGGGGCAGCAATACACCCAGCGTGGGTCTAATCTATGTATCCAATAAATCTATAGGGGCAGCAATACACCCAGCGTGGGTCTAATCTATGTATCCAATAAATCTATAGGGGCAGCAATACACCCAGCGTGGGTCTAATCTATGTATCCAATAAATCTATAGGGGCAGCAATACACCCAGCGTGGCTCTGATCTATGTATCCAATAAATCTATAGGGGCAGCAATACACCCAGCGTGGCTCTGATCTATGTATCCAATAAATCTATAGGGGCAGCAATACACCCAGCGTGGCTCTGATCTATGTATCCAATAAATCTATAGGGGCAGCAATACACCCAGCGTGGGTCTAATCTATGTATCCAATAAATCTATAGGGGCAGCAATACACCCAGCGTGGGTCTAATCTATGTATCCAATAAATCTATAGGGGCAGCAATACACCCAGAGTGGGTTTAATCTATGTATCCAATAAATCTATAGGGGCAGCAATACACCCAGCGTGGGTCTAATCTATGTATCCAATAAATCTATAGGGGCAGCAATACACCCAGCGTGGCTCTGATCTATGTATCCAATAAATCTATAGGGGCAGCAATACACCCAGCGTGGGTCTGATCTATGTATCCAATAAATCTATAGGGGCAGCAAAACACCCAGCGTGGGTCTGATCTATGTATCCAATAAATCTATAGGGGCAGCAATACACCCAGCGTGGCTCTGATCTATGTATCCAATAAATCTATAGGGGCAGCAATACACCCAGCGTGGCTCTGATCTATGTATCCAATAAATCTATAGGGGCAGCAATACACCCAGCGTGGGTCTAATCTATGTATCCAATAAATCTGGGGGCGACTACCCAGCGTGGCTCTGATCTATGTATCCAATAAATAAAGGGGCAGCAATACACCCATTAGCTCTAGTCTATGTATCCAATAAATCTATAGGGGCAGCTTAATACACCCAGCGTGGAGTCTAATCTATATACATCAATAAATCTATAGGGGCAGCAATACGGCGTGGGTCTAATCTATGTATCCAATAAATCTATAGGGGCAGCAATACCACTTGGCCCGTGGGTCTAATCTATGTATCCAATAAATCTATAGGGGCAGCAATACCCAGCGTGGCTGATCTATGTAGCCAATATTAAAATCTATAGGGGCAACAATACACCCAGCGTGGCTCTGATCTATGTATCCAACCAAATCTATAGGGGCAGCAATACACTGGCTGGCGTGGCTCTGATCTATGTATCCAATAAATCTATAGGGCAGCAATACCCAGCGTGGCTCTGATCTATGTATCCAATAAATCTATAGGGGCAGCAAAGCACCCAGCGTGGGTCTGATCTATGTATCCAATAAATCTATAGGGGCAGCAAAACACCCAGCGTGGGTCTGATCTATGTATCCAATAAATCTATAGGGGCAGCAATACACCCAGCGTGGCTCTGATCTATGTATCCAATAAATCTATAGGGGCAGCAATACACCCAGCATGGGTCTGATCTATGTATCCAATAAATCTATAGGGGCAGCAATACACCCAGCGTGGCTCTGATATGTATCCAATAAATCTATAGGGGCAGCAATACACCCAGAGTGGGTTTAATCTATGTATCCAATAAATCTATAGGGGCAGCAAAGCACCCAGCGTGGGTCTAATCTATGTATCCAATAAATCTATAGGGGCAGCAATACACCCAGCGTGGCTCTGATCTATGTATCCAATAAATCTATAGGGGCAGCAATACACCCAGCGTGGCTCTGATCTATGTATCCAATAAATCTATAGGGGCAGCAAAGCACCCAGAGTGGGTTTAATCTATGTATCCAATAAATCTATAGGGGCAGCAATACACCCAGCGTGGCTCTGATCTATGTATCCAATAAATCTATAGGGGCAGCAATACACCCAGCATGGGTCTAATCTATGTATCCAATAAATCTATAGGGGCAGCAAAACACCCAGCGTGGGTCTAATCTATGTATCCAATAAATCTATAGGGGCAGCAAAGCACCCAGCGTGGGTCTGATCTATGTATCCAATAAATCTATAGGGGCAGCAAAGCACCCAGCGTGGCTCTGATCTATGTATCCAATAAATCTATAGGGGCAGCAATACACCCAGCGTGGGTCTAATCTATGTATCCAATAAATCTATAGGGGCAGCAATACACCCAGAGTGGGTCTGATCTATGTATCCAATAAATCTATAGGGGCAGCAATACACCCAGAGTGGGTCTGATCTATGTATCCAATAAATCTATAGGGGCAGCAATACACCCAGCGTGGCTCTGATCTATGTATCCAATATCAATGTATCTATAATCCATCCCGTGTCATTACTAATTTTTGGGGGATATTGTGAGCTTTCTGCCCATAATGTGGCCCTTTCTGTTTGCACAGCTCACTGTATTGCTTTCAGCCCATGTTTATTTGTGGCTCTCTTTCTGTGGTCACAAGATGTCTACGTGTTGTAGCGTGGGTTACCTTGTAGCTGGAAGGGCAGAGTATGAGCTCTGCTGGAGTAAATGGGGAAGTGAGAGGTAATTCCTTGTAAGGTCTCAGCACAGGAAACACAAGGCTGGAGTGAGATACTTACTTACTTTATGTTGTGCATTCAAACAATTATTATTTTTATTTTTTTAGAATGTATGTCATGATGCAGTGATTAGATTTCCTGTAAACATGAGCCAAAATTATTAACATAAGAATGCAGTCTATTATATAATGCAGTTTATATATATATATATATATCGTGCCTGTGAGCTGTCTGAATCGATGGCATATTCGTTGTTCATTATGCGGCCTGTCAAGGAATGGGTATAATATGGGGCTGGAATATTAAAATATTTTCCAGTGCAATACGCAATACAGCAGTTTCTGATAACAGAGGTTCCAAAGAGTAGACTTGTTTTCAAAAACCACAAGAACCATTACAAGTCTCACAGGCCACCTCGGAGCTGCTGGGTTCACTGAGGCCGAAGAAACAATGCACAATGATAAGATATTGGCACAAAACAATATAACGTGCTTTTACACTGCGCTAGTGAAAATATTAAAGTGTAAAAATATCTTTAAAGTGCGGCAGCCGTATAGTATTCTGGCATCATTCTAAAAATAAAAGATAATAAATAGGGTGAACCTATTTTCCCAGGAATATACCTATACTCCTCCTGAAACAAATTCTCATCAAATAACTTCTTGGTTATAAATACTACATGAAATACATATTGTGGAAAGTTAAACTGAAAAGATCCACGGTATTGAATTTTCGTTTAGTGGATTTAAAAAAAAAAAAACAAATACAACAACCGCTCTGGTTGTGGTGAGTCCTTCAAACAATATTTATCTCTTTGGGGTGCAAACAGGTTCTGTAAGGACATTGTCCCCATCTAACCCTTTAGGATCTCATACTGAATGTTTGCCTGTTTGCACCTAACCGGTTCTAGTCAGTCTCCAGTCCAAACCAAAACCAATCGACATTATTAAGTGTTTAATGCTTGCCTGCCTAATCTCATATCGAACAAACTACCAACCACAGCAGGTGGATAGCTAACCAGGAGTACACTAGTAAACACTGACAGTTACCGCTTCAGAGCTCCTCATATTGCCATAGGTATGCAGTAGGCTACGTTCGGTGGGCCGTCCCTGAGACCATCCTACTTGGATGACAAGCCCACCTGAACATGCAGAAATCGGGTCATGTTCGTGAATATCCAAGACAATAATGCTTGGCCAAAGTGAATAAACCGTGTAAAGGTCTAGATGAAGAGCCAGCGATGGTCCTATTTAATATGCTGCATCTCCAAGCAGGGCACGTCGTGTTTCATTCCAATGTAAAATTGCTTTAAGACAGATGTTTCCCTTTTTCACAGATCATTTTCCCCCTATGTGTTCCTTATTTATTTTTAAACTTTTCGGAGCAGTAAAAGCAGAAGAGGGAGTATCTTTTACAAAAATCGACGCTGACCGTCATGTGTCCCTACAGATTTTCACTGGGAACATGGAGGAAGTAACAGAAGGAGTTTGGCCAGATCTGCCCTAAAAAATACTGCAAGGTGCCCAAGCACACTGCCACCCGCTGCAAGACATTAGCTGAATCGCCGAAAAGACCAGGAATGATAAGAGCTGCAGGAATTAATGGGACTATAACTCAATATTTTCAATGTAGTGCTTGGAATGCCCTGTTGTAAAATCTCCATTCAGTGCTAAACCATTTCAGCTCAGTGACGTGGTAATAGTGCCCGGGGTCCCCTGGTGCTGTCTTTCCCTTCAGCATTAAATTATTTTCCAACAGTTTAACACTGACTCTGGGCCCTGGGTGTCTGATAGTTCCAACCTTGCTGGAGGTGTGGCTAAAGTAGAGATTACACACTTCCTTCTAGCCATACCAATTCATACCAGCAATGGGCACTGTGATAGGCTGAAAGCAGTCATTAGCCTAGGCAGAACAGAGGGGATGGGGTGCTGGGGACTTTAGCATATAACCATTAAAAACACTGAATGTCAAGACAGCACTCGGGGACATCAGACACTATAACCACTTCAATGGAATGAAGCAGTTACACTGCCTACAGTGTCCCTTTAATAAGAAAATACCCGTGGGGGGTGGAGCCAGACCGCCATGCTGGCTGGCCGCATGTCAGCACAGCTCCTGCAGGCTATGGAGTTTATTCACTGTTAAATTGCACAATTTGTAGATGGCAATACCAGCAACTATTGGAGCTGTTGATGTCCCCAACAATTGGTGCTTTGGTGGTCCTAAAAAGATATGCGGACTCTGAGGCCTACATGGGATGGGAGTGCAGTGGACAGCTATCGCTCTGCTCTCATGCCTGAATGCTTCACATTGGTGTCCCGTTCTCCCCCCTGTGGACCGGTGGGTGTCCTCCTGGTTCCCAGTGGAGGGGGCTGCTGGGAGCACACAGGAGTTTGAAACCTAAGGTGGCCGCCACAATGGCTCCTGCAGAAGCAGCTTTATTATTTATCTGGTGACTCCTGTTTTCCACTCTGACCCAAGTTGTCCCATTGCAATACCAACATGCCTTGAAGTGAGAGAAGAGGCTCTATGACTTGTCCTGCCAAGCAACTCGACACCTATGCCTAGTTCCTGCATCCACTTACCTGGACCTCGGACCTTGTGGAGGGGAACACCACATTGCATCCTTGCGCCCAAGAGACTGAACCTCCAGCGCGAGGTATGCAATAGAGGCCTCTCCGGGAATAGCGATCACGGCTCATTGGAGGACTGGATCCGAGGGAATCATTTGATGGCTTGAATAGAGCTCTGGAGCTGGTGGAGCAGTCCGAGCTGGACATATTTCTGTGCTGGGACTTTGTCAGAGGGCCTAGAGGTTGGAGTGGCATGAGAGATTCTCTTGAGTGGCTGTAATTATTATGCTTAATGTATTATGATCTTACTATGCCCATACACCGTAGTCCTTTGCTAATATTGTCTGTGCTCTGAGCTTCTTGGGGCTCCAGGGCTTTTTGTTTTCCTGTTTTACCACAACTGGGCCTTAGCATGGTGGAACACTGTTCAATTTCTTTTCTATTACTTCACTTCTGATCTTGCATTACCAGAATATCTTTCAGTCTTATAGTCAGGTACCTGCCAAGCAATATAGTGCAAGCCTAAATTCTGCAGCCTATACCCTTGCTGACATGTTTCTCCTGATGACATTAATGCTTATAATAAATAATTAATGCTTGTTTATACTCAGTGCTGGAATATGCTGGATATTACTATCGCTGGCCTCTAATCTTGTAAACTATGTGATATCCATGATGAATCGATGCAGAACAAAATGAAAGAATTTGAAAAAAAGAAAACACGTGTAAAAAAAAATAAAATCAGCTTTTAAACCAACAAACCAAGAATTGGTTTGTTGGTTATCCACTAAAAGAGTTATCCGCTAAAGGGTTATCCATGTGACAAACTCCCCTTTTTAAAGGGAGTTTGCCACTAAAAGGGTTATTCACTAACAGGGTAATCCACGAAAAGGGTTATCCACTAAAGGGTTATCCACTAAAAGGGTTATTCACTAAAGGGTTATCCACTAAAAGGGTTATTCACTAAAAGGGTTATCGTCTAAAAGGTTATTCACGAAAGGGTTAATCAACTAAAAGGGTTATCCACTACTGTGACTGTGCGGTAGGGTGAGTTGGGGGTGACTGTGCGGTAGGGTGAGTTGGGGGGTGACTGTGCGGCAGGTTGAGTTGGGGGATGACTGTGCGGCAAGGTGTGCTGGGGTGACTGCGGCAAGGTGAGTTGGGGTGACTGCGGCAGGTGAGTTGGGGCTTGACTGTGCGGCAGGGTGTGCTAGAGTGACTGTGCGGCAGGGTGAGTTGGGGGGTGACTGTGCGGTAGGGTGATTAAGCTGCACCTCTCCCAACCTGCAGTCTGACTGAATTTGTCTATGTCGGCTTAACATGGAATCTGGGCATTAAGGTTGTATAGGGGACCAATGTTTAGCTAAGACCACAGTACTGGGATACAAATACTACACCAGAGAGATGTATTGTTTTTTAATTCATGAGACAATCCTCTATAGTGTAAGGTGGGGAATCCCATAATATTTTTATTTACTTATCAGTTGTTCCACTTTTAGATGAAGGGCAGGACAACTTCCCTATTCACAGAATAATTCACTTTATCGCATGGCTTTTATTTACAAACTGCTTTCTGCTTTGTGGGACCCCTGTCGCAATGTCCTTGATGTGTTCCCTGGTCCTGTATCTGGGAACACCGAAGGATTGCTTCCAATAAGCACAGCTCATCATTAGACACTATGGACAAGTTATACATAAGGCACAGAGCCAATATGAGAGTGCTTTGACACGGCACGGGGCGTGGGCTCGCCTGAGTGGGCATGCGTGCCAGGCAGAGATGCCCCTGTTTTGTACCATCAGCATGTAGATGTGATGTTCACTAAGCAATGGGTGACAACAATGCTCGGTTTTTACACAAACATTCAGTGTTGAAGTGACAACTGAGATACAAGCGTTGGCTAAACTAGACAGGTTTGGAAAAATCTCCAACTCTGTTTTAGCTTTAATTTAGTAACCTGGTAAGCAGCCCGATCCTCCTTCTCCTACAGAGCGTCGCAATTGTGGAACGACCTCCCGCACACTTTCAAATCTTCCCCAAATCTAAAGTCCTTTAAGAGATCCCTCTCTACATACCTGAAAACAGAATGCACGTGTTATGGTTGATTATATATTTCCTACCTGTTCTATGTTACATTTTGTATATATTGTGTATGAATATTGTTTTTGTATTTTATTGTACGCTAATGTATCAATGCAATGTTTTATGGACCCAGGACATATTTGAAAACAAGAGAAATCTCAATGTATCCTTCCTGGTAAAATATTTTATAAATAAATAAAAGCGGCTGTTCAGTGAATACACCCCTCGGGGTAAAAACAAAGCACACATCATTGAGTGCGCGGGCTTGGAGTATTAATGGCAATTGGTAGATTGTGTCTGAGTCAGAGCGTTATGATGTCTGCTGTCTTAATCTAAGCTTTATCTATTGGACGACAGGGAGCATAGTAACGACTGCATGACCTTATACAGCACATGTCTAAATATATATAGAAATAGTATCAATACATCCTCTACAACTGTTAAAGACATTATCCTCAGCTATCCCCTGATAATGGGAGTCTTAGACTGCACTGGAGGGCCACGTATCTCCTTCTCCTGGTATAAACACTAGAAGGGTATCCATAGTTCAGCTGTCTAGTTGTTATTTAACTGCAGCTACCATCACTCTGAGACAACCTTTATTCAAGGGCCTAGATAATTCCTGACCAGCAAAGTAAAGAACAGATCCGTTAATTGGCTTCCTTTAACAAGTGCTGGGTCACTAATATAGTTAAAAACCATTTCAACATCTGGCAAATGATTTGTCAAAACATTGCTCTCTAGCTGTTATTAAACACAACTCCCAAGGCCCTCAGCAAGGTGTTTGAATCCTCCCTAGCCTTGTTGAAATGAGTGGGAGGTTGTCAGAGCAAGCTGTGGGTTTGCAGTGCTTGTGGTGGTGGTGGAAAGCAGCACACGTTGTGTGAGGGAAGCTGTGGGCAGGATGTGAGCAATGAGTCACTCTGCAGTGAGCAATTTCTATCATTTGACATAAATGAACTAATTATAAGGGAGTTTATCAGCAGCCCTGGAAACAAAGTTACTGACAAATCACCCAGATTGCTCTCCTCAAACGCCGTCCAGCACAGCGCTGAGATGTACTAAAAGCTGATAAGGTGGAGAGATTTCTCTCCAGTGACAGACTGAAACTACGCCTGATGCAAAGTAATACGAGGGAGCAGTCACCACGGAAACCAATGGAATGTTGATGTTAATTGCTATACCTTAGAATGTTGGCCTAGAATTATTCTTTATACAGAACCCCAAGCACAGGTTCCCAATATTAGCACATGGCCACACCATTGGCCTCCTGGCTAGCTCGAATAAATTAACTGGTGCAGGACCCTGAATGTGTGTTTAGCCTGGATAACCCCGAAAGCGGTTCAAGAAACCCAGGCCTTATCAATGCCCCTGAATAAAACCCTGACCTGTGTGTGAATAAGTGTATATGAATGGCAGGTAGTATGTGCAAATCAAGGGACAGAACATGTCTAAATACAGGGGGGGGAGGAGGAAGGGGGGATGGGTGAAGGGGTGTGTGTGTGTGTGTGTGTGTGTGTGTGTATATATATATATATAAATGCAGGGGTGTATGTGTGTTGAGGGTTAGTGTGTGTGTGTATAAATGCAGTGGTGTATGTGTGTTGAGGGTTAGTGTGTGTATACAGGGGTATATGTGTGTTGAGGGTTAGCATGTGTGTGTAAATGCAGGGGTGTATGTGTGTTGAGGGTTAGTGTGTGTGTGTTGAGGGTTAGTGTGTGTGTGTATACAGGTATGTATGTGTGTTGAGGGTTAGCGTGTGTGTGTAAATGCAGGGGTGTATGTGTGTTGAGGGTTAGCGTGTGTGTATAAATGCAGGGGTGTATGTGTGTTGAGGGTTAGTGTGTGTGTGTATACAGTGGTGTATGTGTGTTGAGGGTTAGTGTGTGTGTATACAGGGGTGTATGTGTGTTGAGGGTTAGTGTGTGTATACAGGGGTATATGTGTGTTGAGGGTTAGCATGTGTGTGTAAATGCAGGGGTGTATGTGTGTTGAGGGTTAGTGTGTGTGTGTATACAGTGGTGTATGTGTGTTGAGGGTTAGTGTGTGTGTGTATACAGGTGTGTATGTGTGTTGAGGGTTAGCGTGTGTGTGTAAATGCAGGGGTGTATGTGTGTTGAGGGTTAGCGTGTGTGTATAAATGCAGGGGTGTATGTGTGTTGAGGGTTAGTGTGTGTGTGTATACAGTGGTGTATGTGTGTTGAGGGTTAGTGTGTGTGTATACAGGGGTGTATGTGTGTTGAGGGTTAGCGTGTGTGTGTGTGTGTGTGTGTGTGAAAGGTCAGTGTGCTATGTTTTATGTCTGTATGTAAATCTGTGTGGAGTATATTATTATTATTATTGCCATTTATACAGCATCAACAGATTCCGTAGCGCTTTACAATATTATGAGAGGGGATTTAACTATAAATAGGACAATTACAAATAAACTTACAGGAACAATAGGTTGAAGAGGACCCTGCTCAATCGAGCTTACATTCTATAGGAAGTGGGGTGTAAAACACATTAGGACAGGAATGCAGTTTGCAAAATAAGGTGGGCTGCCCTTTAGGAGAGGGCAAGAGACGGGTATGTGAGGTAGGGGTTAGTCTTGGAGGCCAAAAGCTTTCTTAAAGAGATGGGTTTTAAGGCACTTCTTAAAAGATGCAAGACTAGGGGAGAGTCTGATGGCGGGAGGCAGGCTATTCCATAGATAAAGTAATCCATATACAATAAATCTGTGTATTGATGCATTATTAACATGGCGAAGTGCCTGCCTGTTGTTATATGTGTTTCCAGGGAGAGGGAATGAGGCTTTGAGCTGTATATGGGGGTCTGCACAGTATTAGTAACAGTACTTATAGGATCCATGTGTAGCCCGGAAAAAGTATACAGAGGGGACACTGGAGGGACTTGGTATACAAAATACTGGGGCAGTTTCACATGTACTAGTTTTGTGCGCATGCACAATATGCTAAAACATGTTCCTAAACACTTTCCACATTGGTGACTTTTTTTCTGCTTTATCTGTAATACACCAAAATTATCGTCTTTCTTGCACTTCCTGTTTTACATTTTTTTATTCCTTTTTTATGATTTTACTATTGATTGCAGTCACAAAATGAGCAATATTAAAAAAAGTCAGATTTGAAAGTTTTAAGGATTTGTTTATTCATTGAACCAAAAGAAAGAATGTCACATTAAACCCAACAGTGTCGGAAAAACTGCATGTTTACACCTTTCTTTTTTTATCCATTGAAAGTGACAAAGAAGATGCAATGAGGATAATTTGGGCACAAATAAGGGAATAAATAAGATCAACACAATATTTTTTATACACTGCCCTATGGACATGCTGAGCACTGCTTTCAGACCAGCGGTTATAACGTGCTCAGTGGAGTGGGAGTGACTGTCAGTACAATGGGTATCGCTGGGGTGAGGAGACTACATCTGAAGCCCAGCTTGTCATGTCTTCACTGCTAGCGGGGAGTGCCAGCTTCCGGGCTCAAGTAGACTGCAAAGGTCCCTCACTAGTGCTCACTTTCCACTCATAAATCCCAAAGTGGCAAGTGGAACTTTTGCTGGATAACACACTTTCCCAGAAAATTTTAACTTTTGTGAATTACCCTTATTGTCACTATTTTTGAAAATACTTATTTTAAAGGAGCATTCTAAGCACCAAAACAACTTTAGCTTAATGAAGCAGTTTTGGTGTATAGTCCCCCCCCCCCAACCCCCCTACAGTCTCACTGCTGAATTCTCTGCCATTTAGGAGTTAAATCACTTTGTTTATGCAGCCATAGCCACACCTCCCCTGGCTGTCGATCACACACCTCTCTATCCACTTCCTATAAAGAAGGTTTAATTTTCACAATAATTCTTCCCAGCCAGCAAACTTGTCTGCACTAACAGAGAATCACATTTTTAGTATTCCGGGACAATATAAGTGAACATTGCACACACGAAAAAAAAAATCATTATTTAATTTTTTTTAATAATGTAATAATACATGTTTTGTAATACCTATTTTCATGTATGTTTTTTGTAGCTTCCAAGTGTGCTCACTCTTTTAGAAGCATTTGATTGGGACACTGTCCAGCATATACAAAAAGATGTGCCAGGCAAAAATGAGTACCTCAGCTTAGATACAGAACTTGTAGAAGAAGTAGGATTTTAAGGACTTGAAACATAATTACTAAAACCTAAGAAATGCATATTTCCTTATTTAACTGCCTTATTTAAGAGCACTCAAAGAATCATTTTAAATTAGACTTTTCCTCTAAGTCCAAAGGAAAACCCAGTTTAAGCTGATGTTTGATGAAAGATATTCTATTATTCTGTAACTAGTTATACTGATGGTGTAGAGTCTAGACTGTGGTTCATTATTGTCTGTTTTATCCCCCAGCTCTAAGATGGAAATGAGCGCTCCTTGCAGCCTGTCTTCAGCCCCGGAGATGGACCATGATGCTGCCCAGACGGTAAGGGCTGGGGAATTAGTGTTAAGATGGGCAGGGGGAGCTTGTGACCAGTCCAGGATAGGGTACACAGGCCTCAAATAATTGAACTCCTATTCTAGACAAGGGGACATGATTTAACCCATCAGTGTCTTTCCTATTCTAGGTAAGGAAATAACCCCATACCTGTCCTTTTGGTAAGGAACTTATATAGAGGCAGCCTGGCTGGGTACTTTATATAAAGGCAGTGTGTGTTATATACAGGCAGCATGGCAGTGTTTGTTATACCGAGGCAGCCTGGCTGGGTACTTTATATAAAGGCAGTGTGTGTTATATACAGGCAGCATGGCAGTGTTTGTTATACCGAGGCAGCCTGGCTGGGTACTTTATATAGAGGCAGCCTGACTGGGTACTTTATATAGAGGCAGCCTGACTGGGTGCATGATATAAAGACAGCATGTGTTATACTTAGGCAGCCTGGCTGGGTGCTTTATTAAGAGGCAGCATGTGTTATATAGAGGCGGTGTGTGTTATACTGAGGCAGCTTGGCTGGGTGTTTTATAGAGGCAGCATGTGTTATATAGAGTCGGTGTGTGTTATACTGAGGCAGCCTGGCTGGGTGCTTTATATAAAGGCAGTGTGTGTTATATACAGGCAGCATGGCAGTGTTTGTTATACCGAGGCAGCCTGGCTGGGTACTTTATATAGAGGCAGCCTGACTGGGTGCATGATAGAAAGACAGCATGTGTTATACTGAGGCAGCCTGGCTGGGTGCTTTATTAAGAGGCAGCATGTGTTATATAGAGGCGGTGTGTGTTATACTGAGGCAGCTTGGCTGGGTGTTTTATAGAGGCAGCATGTGTTATATAGAGTCGGTGTGTGTGTGTTATACTGAGGCAGCATGTGTTATTATAGAGTCTGTGTTTGTTATACTGAGGCAGCCTGGCTGGGTGCTTTATTAAAAGGCAGCATGTGTTATATAGAGGCAGTGTGTTATACTGAGGTAGCTTGGCTGGGTGTTTTATGTAGAGGCAGCATGTGTTTTATATAGTCTGTGTGAGTTATACTGAGGTAGGCTGGCTGCTTTATATAGAGGCAGCATGTGTTATACAGAGGCAATCGGCCTGGGTGCTTTATATAGATACAGTATGTGTTACATAGAGACGGTGTGTTCTAATGAGGCAGCCTTGCTAGGTGTTTTATATAGAGGCAGCATGTGTTTTATATATAGTCTGTGTGCTATAACGAGGCAGCCTGGCTGGGTATTTCATATAGAGGCAGCATGTGTTATATAGAGGAAGCGTGGGTTATACAGAGGCAGTCAGGCAGTTTGTGTTATATAAAGAGGCAGCGTGTGTTATACAGAGGCAGTCAGGCAGTGTGTCTTATATAAAGAGGCAGCGTGTGTTATACAGAGGCAGTGTGTCTTATATAAAGAGGCAGCGTGTGTTATACACAGGCAGTCAGGCAGCATGTGTTATACAGAGGCAGTGTGCTATAATGAGGCACCCTGGCTGAGTATTTCATATAGAGGCAGCATGTGTTATATAGAGGCAGTGTGTGTTATACAGAGGCAGTCAGGCAGTGTGTGTTATATAAAGAGGCAGCGTGTGTTATACAGAGGCAGTCAGGCAGTGTGTGTTATACAGAGGCAGTCAGGCAGTGTGTGTTATACAGAGGAAGCATGTGTTATACAGAGGCAGTCAGGCAGTGTGTGTTATATAAAGAGGCAGCGTGTGTTATACAGAGGCAGTCAGGCAGCGTGTGTTATACAGAGGCAGTCAGGCAGCGTGTGTTATATAGGGAGATGGCCAGCACATTGTGTGCATTGTAATCACCCAGGTCTGGCTCTCCCTATTGGCTCTCCTCCATCTCCTGTCCTCCCATTGTATTTGCACCTGAATGGATTGTTCCATTTCCATTCTGGGGGGAGAGCGATGGAGGTTTGTGGTGGTTTGTGCTTGTTAAATGGCAGTGGGTGGGCGAGGTGAGAGCGCAGACAGTAGGTACCTCTAGGGAGAGAGTGCGAGCAGAGCTGGGGGGTGCTCTCACACCCTATTGTCAGGGAGCAGGATTCATGTGTTCACTCTCTCCCCATGCTAATTCAGCTGTAGCCACTGTCTGAATTGGGACAATGTAACAAGACTGTCAGGGAAAAGAGACAGACACAGAGAGACAGGCATGCACAGGCACTATGGGCGAGAGAGCCATGCATGCCAGGCTGAGAGGGTCAGGAACAGAGTGTAGACTGCTGTGGAATGAAAGTGAGTGCCACTCATACTGAGAGCGCTCGAGACAGACTCAGGATTAATACCATCACAGGATTCCTGCAGACATGGAGCCCGGAGAGGGCTAATTACCCCCAGCAGCAGTCACAAGCTACACAATGGTGGTGAGTAGCCCTGGGGGTATGTATCAGCTGGATGGGGGGTAAGGCAGGTATTATGGGGTAGGTAGACAGGTGAGAGCCATGTGCCTTCAGTCCCCTATTACTCCCCTGTAACCTGAGCTCGCTCTGCCCCGGGGGTAAAAGACTGCCTATTGTAGGGGCAATACGTTTTAGGGGTGTGGGGCAAACACTGCGCATTATTGGGGTAGTAGATAGGATCCGTTTCGGGTTCGCGGTTCGCTTATTATCGTCTTTGTGGGAATATAATGTGTCGCCCTGTCACTTCCATAATAATACGATAATATTATAAGAATAATGGGCTATGAGCGCACACATTGTCTCAGTCGAGGACAGATAGCAGGCGGCCAGACAAGCAATGATAAATAAGTGGCGCTCTGGGTGGGTGTACAAATAGCGCAGGAGGATTGGTCACACAGCCAGACCCCTTTGTTATTTGTTTTGTTTTTTTTCATTAGAAGGAATCGTGTGGCACTGACAGCGATACGCTGCAGTATTGTGTATGCAGGTGTGATGCTCTGCAGTACCTGATATATATTCCGTATTATTTTCATTATATTTTTGTATATGCAGGTGTGATGCTCTGCAGGCGGCTGGCAGTGAAAATGTTACTAGATCCGATGGGGGTACGGCTCAGCCATTACTGAGAGCTATGGTTATAGGATTAAGGCAGGGATATAGTGACCGGTGCAAGGCTTTCCCAGGATTAGTGGCGGTCTCTGTAGGTCATGGGTTAATGACCTGACATCTGGCTGGAGCGCTTTGTAGGCCTCAGGCAATGATGGGGTTAATAATAATGTGTGTCACTAAATGAGGTTAATAAGAAAGTAAGAAATGGGTCAGAGCCACCGGAGAGCGACTGTCACTGGACCAGAGACGGCCTACACCGGCACCTGTATGTGTGAGTGACCGTCACTAAACCAGAGACAGCCTGACAACGGGATCTGTCTGTGTGAGTGACCGTCACTAAACCAGAGACAGCCTGATAATGGGATCTGTCTTTGTGAGTGACCGTCACTAAACCAGAGACAGCCTGACACGGGGATCACTGTGTGAGAGAGTGCTCACCGGGCCCAGAGACAGCCTGACATGGGGGATCACAGTGTGAGAGAGTGCTAAATGGGCCCAGAGACAGCCTGACATGGGGGATCACAGGTATCACAGTGTGAGAGAGTGCTAAATGGGCCCAGAGACAGCCTGAAACCGGTATCACAGTGTGAGAGTGCTCACTGGGCCCAGAGACAGCCTGACATGGAGGATCACTGTGTGAGAGAGTGCTTATCGTGCCCAGAGACAGCCTGACATGGGGAATCACTGTGTGAGAGAGTGCTCATCATGCCCAGAGACAGCCTGACATGGGGGATCACTGTGTGAGAGAGTGCTCATCGTGCCCAGAGACAGCCTGACATGGGGGATCACTGTGTGAGAGAGTGCTCATTGTGCCCAGAGACAGCCTGACATGGGGGATCACTGTGTGAGAGACTGCTCATCGTGCCCAGAGACAGCCTGACACTGGGATCACTGTCTGAGAGAGTGCTCACCGGGCCCAGAGACAGCCTGACACTGGGATCACTGTCTGAGAGAGTGCTCACCGGGCCCAGAGACAGCCTGACACTGGGATCACTGTCTGAGAGAGTGCTCACCGGGCCCAGAGACAGCCTGACACTGGGATCACTGTCTGAGAGAGTGCTCACCGGGCCCAGAGACAGCCTGACACTGGGATCACCGGGCCCAGAGACAGCCTGACACTGGGATCACTGTCTGAGAGAGTGCTCACCGGGCCCAGAGACAGCCTGACACTGGGACCACTGTGTCGCTTATTTAATTATCATAACAAAAGCTGGGAATTTTCAGCCTCCATTTGTTCCCAAGCCCCCCTTCCAGTCTTTTCTGAATTCCCATCCCTGACTCTCGGGTCATGGGAGAGGGGGGCAGGAGGTTAACATTGCCATGGAAACTGATGTTCCCGCGCAATGCTTCAGGGGTATCAATGGGAATGATGGCGGACAGAGTACAACATTAGCATCCTTTCCCCACGAACAGACAGATTAACGTTAACCTGAAACAATGTTCTTGCTGGTTTAACGCTGGCTACTCCAAATCACGCACAGTCCTCCGCCACTCGAAAGGGTTAATGATTTTTAGTCACATGGTATCTGCCGCCCTGCTTCCTTGAGTGCTGCTAGGAGCAACTGTGATATTCACCATTTCAAAAAATTGCCGTTTAGAGCCGTGATTCCAGATATAACATGTGTATGAGTATTCTGTGTGCATCCATGCTCTACATTCTGTACGCACTTCTCATTAAAATAAACTCAACTCAGCAATGTCACTCCAATAAACATTTAACCTTTTGCTTGCCAGCGTGATGGGCATTTTGTGACAATGCAAAATGGGGTTTTATTCACAAAATTGTGAGTTACAATGAGTGGATTTTGCCAGTTCAGTATTTTAGGGATAAAAACGTACTAATTTCTGGTTAGACTAGTTGGAAAGATAATGTCACATGTGGATTTAATGGAAGGCAAGTATTGACCTATATCCTCTATAATGTAAGCTCATTGAGCAGGGCCCTCCACCTCTCTGTTCCTCTACGTCCACTTGTCTGGTTACAATTACATGTCTGTTAGTCCACCCATTGTACAGCGCTACGGAATCTGATGGCGCTATATAGATAATAAAATAATAGACTAAAGGCTTTCTCAGCATCATGGGAATGTAGTTCATCAAGATCTGCAGGGACAAGGCGACACAGACCCCATGGATTTTGTTCTGTTCTTTGCTGTGCAATGGGAGGTTGTAATTCTCCATATATCGAGCTAGTAAAAGCATTTTGCAGAAAAAGAGGAAATTTAAGGGCTTTATTTGCTAAATGGTGAGTTTGAGCACCATCAAAACAGACTTTTCTTTCTGTTGAACTAAAGATTTGTTTATTTCCCCCCCCCACCCCACCCCGACCCCCAAAATCTGACATTTTGTAAGTTGGTTTTCACATCAACACAACTCCCTGTTTAGTGAATAGATGGGATGCCTCCTCTGACCAGTCATTTATACAACATGTGCCCACCTGGTACAGCTGGCAAGTGCCCAACTACTTTGCCCTTAAAGGGAACTCAATGAGAGGTCTTTGCAAGGCAGGTGCTCTGGACAATTGATGCCTCTTGAGGTTAGCCCCACTGAGCTAAACAAACCAGGAAGTAACAGGGCCGGTTTTCTGATTGACAGTCATACGGGTGTAACAAGATTCATTTATAAAGTGATAATTTCTATTGAAATCTCCACTTTTTGTAAAATGGGGAAAAAAAGAGAACACACTTCACACATAAAGCATGTCAGCAAGCTTAAGTACTTTTATAGGTCTGGAGTGTTGTTTAATGTTTCATAAATGGTTATGGTATATCCTCAGTGCCCATTGAGAACAACGGAAGTCTAGGATTGGTTGACGTGTGTGTAGGTAGAGGGCAGAGGCCCGAAAGATACCAGCATCATTGAACCCACTCCCTCATTATGGGAATATTGAGGAGCCATTTTCTCATTGTTGTACACTAAGTATGGAATGTGGAGGAGATGGCAGCTTGGCATTGGAAGACATCTAAGCTTGTGAAGTCTCTGTAGGAATGAGCAGAGTAGCTCAAACGTAATAAGACCAAAGTATGTAAACATGACGGTTACATGGTCTCCAGTCTTTGTTATAGTTCCCCATCAAAATGTAACTCATTTTATTGACCGGCTTGGTCAGATCTGCTGAAACTGTAACAATGTCTCACTGGCTAATATACAGGCTGCACAGGGGGGTTATGGGAAATGTAAAACTGCCCTGTTAAAGGGACAAGCATCACTGTGAGACAACTTTCTTATTCAAAAGTGTTTTATTTGTGGCACCAGGATTGGCTGAGTTTTGTCAGCCACTTCCTGCTTTTTCCCCAGCATTTACTGCAAATTGAGTTTCAATTCATTTATCACAGCAGGGTTTATTCATTAACCAGTACATTGTGATGAACAGAAAACCAATTTTCAGAATTGAAGTCAAATAAAACAGTCTGAAAACTGGATGAATTGGAGGACTTTATGGCAGTTTACTGAATAGGCCTCTGGTATATTGTATGTTTTCCTCATTGTTACTCGGAATGTCTTGTGTTCATTTAAATTGGCAGCCCCCTGTCCAATCACTGTCACCCCCCTTTTTGTCAAATAATGTTTTCAAAACCACTACCCTTTCCTTTTAAACTTTCTAACCAGTTTGTGTTCAGTACTTCCAATGGAAAGCTAACACCCCAAGTATTTTAGCATATTTTGTATAAAATACCGCTTCCTACCCATCAGTCTATTTTCCATCTTGTCTCAGTGGCAACAGTCCATCTCTGAAAAGCAGAAAGCCCGGACTGTATTTGGGTCTTTCGGTGATGGTTTAATTCCTTGTGGCACGGAGAACGTGAGGTCAAGGTTGGATTCACTGTTCACTGCATTCTTAGTGAGCTGTCTGGGAGGGAGGGTCTGCTGCTGATTGGCTGGAATGTGTCTGCTGACTGTGAGGTACAGGGTCAAAGTTTACTCAATGATGAGTCCGCGACGAACCGTTCGGGACATCACTACTGTTCACCCTTCTGATTTCTGGCTTATGAGCCTTGGGCTGATCGTACTTAGTAGACTGAGTTATTTAGGCAAGGGAAAGACTTAACTAATAAATAGATATACTGTATTTTCTGGCGTATAAGATGACTTTTTAACCCTGGAAAATCTTCTCCAAAGTCGGGGGTCGTCTTATACGCCGGGTATAGGGTCTAGATGGCTGCTGTGGGCGCCCTGCACCCCCATCGCCGGCCCTTCTAATGCTGCTATAGAGAGCGCTCAGACGGCTGCCGCACTGCCTCTCTTCTCACCTCCACTTCCCTGTGCAGAGTGGGTGGCCGAGCTCCTCTTCGTCCTGTCAGTCCGGCCGGGTACCGCGCGGTACAGGAGATTCAGTTACCTGCTCCCGGCCGGACTGAAAGGAAGTGCACACTGAGTGCTCACTTCCTTTCAGTCCGGCCGGGAACAGGTAACTGAATCTCTTGTACCGCGCGGTACCCGGCCGAACTGACAGGACGAAGAGGAGCTCGGCCACCCACTCTGCACAGGGAAGGGGAGGTGAGAAGAATGTAGGGAGGATTGGGGGGGGGGAGTAAAAAGAATGGAGGGGGGGAGTAAAAAGAATATATCGCAATTAGCCTCCTGTGTGCTAGACCAGCAGGCATGGATTATATGCCCAAACAGCCTGGCACATACCTGGGCTTTAAATGCTATTTCAGATTATCATTATTTAATGTCTTGCTGTGTAGCTCTGTCTGCTCACTGTACATCATGGCTAATTTTTATTTGGTGTGCATTGGAAGAGGGGTAGTCTTATACGGCGAGTATATCCCAAACTCTATATTTTAACTGGAAAAGTTGGGGGTCATCTTATACGCCGGAAAATACGGTATGTATTTATTGAAGAGTTGCTTACAATACACATTAAGAGAGGCTGTAATTAGTCCATGCAGCTCATTGCATGCTACAAGGAGGGAGATTTGGTTTCAGGGCTGTATATACAACGGGGGAATGGGTGGGGGGGGCTCTTTTGTTCACCATGCAAATTAGAGAAAATTGTGGCCAGGAATGAGCCATCATCACCCTAACAAATTAAGAAACATAAAAATGATACTTGCCTTACATTAGAGGTTCATTCATTTGCATTGATTCCAAAGTTCTGCAGCTAACGAAGTGAGCTTTCACTAAACCAGGAAGTTTCTCAGCCAGTCCTAATGCTGGCTTAACATTCCGTAAGGATGGTAAAACTATCCTTTAAGCAGTGCTTTATGGGACCTGCAAAGGTTTGCGGGAGTTGTCCACAAAACTACGTCATGACATCATGTAGAGCAAGATTTGGGACAAATAAAGGGAAACGCAGCAGGTTAAAGAAGGGGAAAAATAGATGGGATAACAGTGTGTTAAATGTCCACTACAGCGTGCGCCTGGTGTTCCTCCCAACACGTGAAAAGTGTTTCTAAATAGCGTGTCAGAAAATCGCAGTGGATTAATAACAGCGTTATTCACTAAAAGTCAGAATATGCCTGAGTTAAATCCAGAGGGAAAAACTGTGGCAAAAATAACTTATCTGTAAAATTCGGTCATGGTTACATTTTTATTTAAATGTAGGAGTAGTCCACAGGTAACTTTTTTATTATTATTTTTGCCTTTGTTCCATTTATTTAGGCTGATGTTTACTGTAGCCATTGCTGCCACCCAGGAGTAGTGGGGGTTTGAGCACAGAGTTTAATTTTGGGAGCTTGTATTCACAGCATTTTCCCTCCGTTCTGCCATTCTAATGGAATGTGTAAGTGAAGACACTAGTCAGACTATAACCATTGGCTTTCTAATGGCCGGCTGCTTTATATACAGAGTTCGTTTGTATTTCGATCCATATTTCCTGGGAGCTGTTTTGACTCTGAGGCTCGTGGTGCTGGTGTCGGTGTATAAATGTTGGAATTATTGGGTTCTGATGTGATGAGCCTAGTAATATCCCAATGTCAGTCTCACAGGCTTATTTACTAAAATGTGGAAATTTGACATTCAGGTTAGGTAAATAACCCTGTCCGCCATCTAATTATTGGTTAAAAAGCATAAAGAGAAAGTGGGCAGCTTGTGATTGTTTGTTTTTTTTAGCCATGCAATATAGTTCATTTATCAGATCTAATCTATGATTAATGGCACGCTGTATATGGTATATTGTAGCCCTATCGTTCTCGTTGCCTTGATTAATAGTCTCAAACACAATAGGATCCTCATTATGTTACTATTAACTCATTAGTAGTTAATGAGAATTTTATACCAACTCAATTACCCCTTAAACAATATTATGTTTATACATTTGAATTCTGTATTACAGTGTGACTAAGGGACTTTGTTAAAGGGACCTAACGTGCTCTTAATCGCTTCAGCTTGCTTTATAAATATGATTTCAAGAACATTTTAAAGAGATTTAAAGGAACTTTCCAGCATTTATAAATTAACACAATTCCTTACAACACTGCAGTGTTCTGCAGCTGTTTATAGATGTTCACCTATTACTTACCTCTAATCCAGTGGTGGAACCATCTACTCGCTGCAGCTCTGCTCCACTCCCAGAAGGTCATCACTAGTCATGGTCTCTCGGCCAATCCAATGTATCTCATAGTGAAGCTTTGGGAGGAAATTGCTGAAATCTACTCCTATTTTCAGCTAGCGCTCCATAACTGTCTGACAGCAGGGAGCATTATTAAAGTGACGATTTCGCTTGAAAAGGTGTAGCGTTCCTTTAAAAAAAAACACTCCGGATTTTTTACATTTTGTTATATTTACCAAGGAAGCGTGTGTGAAGTTTGAAAAATACATGTCATGGTTATTTATTAAAGTGGGAATTCAAAGTAAATTTCAAATTTAAGTTTAAAATGGCCAAACTGGGAAAAATCTAGTAAATCGGCTATAGGCAGTTTTGGTGTACAGATCATGCCCCTGCAGTCCAACTGCTCAGTTCTTCGCCATTGAGGAGCTAAATCACTTTGTTTGTATGGCTCTCCTCCTCTGAAACCGCTATTTGGTGGTCGTCAATTTTCCCACAACCCAAGAGACTCTGAAAGCAAAGGTGGTGTAGGGTCTCTGCTCTCACCTCACTGCTCCTTCAAACCTCTACCCACACCCCTTTCCTTCTCGTTCTCCTCATTTGAATTTCATTCAATTCGCCTTTTTAAGCCCATCTCTGCTAACATTGCCGTTATCTATCGTCCCCTTGGTTCCCCTCTCCTCTTCCTTGACCACTTTGCTGCTTGGCTTCCCTACTTTCTCTCATCTAATATTCCATCCCCAATTCTTGGGGACTTTAACATTCCCATTAACCTACCCTTGTCCTCAGTAGCCTCAAAACGACTTCCAATGACCTCCTCCATTGGGCTATCGCAGTGGGCTAAGTCCCCCACCCCTGTAGCTGGCAATACCCTTGATCTTATTTTCTCTCATGAATGTACAATCTCTGCAACACTCCATTTCCTCTCTCAGATCCATAGGTATATCCGTTCTCGGTCTCTCCGCTCTGCCCGTGACCACCTTCTGTCCACTGCTCGCACCTGTACGGCCAACTCGCGTTTGCAGCACTTTTCGCAGGTGGCTCCCTTCCTATGGAATAGCCTGCCTACCGCCATCAGACTCTCCCCTAGTCTTTCATCTATTAAGAAGTGCCCATCTCTTTAGGAAAGCTTATGGCCTCCCAGAGTAACCTCTACTTTACATACCCGTCTCTTGCTGTCTCCTAAAGAGCAGCACTCTACTCTCTAATCCAGCTCTACTTCACCCCACCTTGTTTGATTGCTATTTCCTGTGCTGTTGGGTTTTGTGCCCCACCTCCTATAGACTGTAAGCTCGTTTGAGCAGGGTCCTCTTCAACATATTGTTTCTGTAATTGTCTTATTTATTGTTAAATCTTCCCCTTTGATAATATTGTAAAGCGCTACGGACTATGCTGGCGCTATATAAATACCAGTAATAATAATACTAATAATAATAGCCATAGTCACACCTCCCTGCATGTGACCTGCACAGCATTCCCAAACACTGTAAATAACCTAGATATTCTAGGTTCCTGTATTGCACAATCTGTTTAACCTATATTTGTTTGTTTTGCACTGTTATTAGCTTTCTGTGTGTGATTAATGTTCTATGTACAGAGCAGGAGATAACAACTTCTAAAGCAAGTTAAGATCTGATTGAAAAGGAAACCATTTTGTTTTCATGCAGGCTCTGTCAGTCACAGCCAGGGGAGGTGTGGCTAGAACTGCATAAACAGAAACAAAAGTGATTTAACTTCTGAATGACAGAGGATTGAGCGGTGAGAGCTATACACCAAAACTGCTCCATTAAGCTAAAGTTGTTTTGGTGCCTATAGTGTCCCTTTAAGAAACTTGGTATAATTCACCATGGATTAATAGTGAAGGGGTGACATCATTTAGTACAGGTCAGGAAGTGAAGTACTATAAGCCTCTAATAATGGCATTCATCCATTTAATGACTCGAGGTTTGTAAGTGCTAACGACAAACCATTCAAACAGCAGGTGAGTGCTGTACAGCTCTGTTTGTGCTATCTGACAAATATACTCATTTTAGCTTTATATGCAAAGAAGGCAGCAGGTACTGGAATCTGTAAGTAGTGCACAAAACGGGGATTCTAAGTGGTTTAATGTGCATCCATGTGCTTATTATTTAACTCTAAGTTCTATAGATAATGTGTATATGAATGCAACGTGTGTATGTACGTATGCAGAGTGTGGGCTTGTATAGTGAGTGTATGCAGAGTGTGGGCTTGTATAGTGAGTGTATGCAGAGTGTGGGCTTGTATAGTGAGTGTGTGCAGAGTGTGGGCTTGTATAGTGAGTGTGTGCAGAGTGTGGGCTTGTATAGTGAGTGTGTGCAGAGTGTGGGCTTGTATAGTGAGTGTGTGCAGAGTGTGGGCTTGTATAGTGAGTGTGTGCAGAGTGTGGGCTTGTATAGTGAATGTGTGCAGAGTGTGGTGTGTCTGTGTAGGTGTGCTGTATATGTATAGTATGGGTGTGTGTCTGTGTAGGTGTGCTGTATATGTATAGTATGGGTGTGTGTCTGTGTAGGTGTGCTGTATATGTATAGTATGGGTGTGTGTCTGTGTAGGTGTGCTGTATATGTATAGTATGGGTGTGTGTCTGTGTAGGTGTGCTGTATATGTATAGTATGGGTGTGTGTCTGTGTAGGTGTGCTGTATATGTATAGTATGGGTGTGTGTCTGTGTAGGTGTGCTGTATATGTACAGTATGGGTGTGTGTCTGTGTAGGTGTGCTGTATATGTACAGTATGGGTGTGTGTCTGTGTAGGTGTGCTGTATATGTACAGTATGGGTGTGTGTCTGTGTAGGTGTGCTGTATATGTACAGTATGAGTGTGTGTCTGTGTAGGTGTGCTGTATATGTACAGTATGGGTGTGTGTCTGTGTAGGTGTGCTGTATATGTACAGTATGGGTGTGTGTCTGTGTAGGTGTGCTGTATATGTATAGTATGGGTGTGTGTCTGTGTAGGTGTGCTGTATATGTATAGTATGAGTGTGCATAGATTGGCAATAAGAGGAATCTGATGTGATTCGATTACTATGGTAACAGAGCAGAAGCGCAGTATGTTCAAAAAAGGAATGTTTAAAAATACATTGCGTATGTTTTTTGGCTTCATTTACTGAACAATGCACAGCAACACAGAGAAGCTGGACTGGCTTTATATAAACTTACAGATAATGACAATTTGAGGCATGAAATAATCATGGATTTTACAAGGCATTGGAGGCAGTCAATTGTTTGTTCATTTAGAGGTCATTTATTGCTAGAACTATGGTTTAATATGGATTTCACTTTAAGTTCTTAGCTCAGGAAAGCCAAAGGAAACTGCTCTCAGTAGTTTGAGGAGACGCAGGGACCATTGCCTAGCGGACCCAGGTAAGGGGTCAAACTGTTATCAAGATACTTGCAGTGTTCCTTGAATTTAACCCTTCCTTCTTTCATTACTGATAATCTGGGACGGAGAGGCACAAGATCTCCCAGCACATTAACAGGAATAAGAACATGGAAAGTGGTAGTATCAAAGATGTAATGATCACAAATTCTAATTAAATTAACAAGACATGAGTTATAAGTAGGGTTAATGTTTAAATTGTGAATTGTTGGCAGTTAAAAGTATTTTAATTTAAAAATGTAAGCCAAAATCGCTCCTGTGAAACCGTAGCTTTTTAATTTTTTTTTTTATTATTTTAGCTACCGGTATATGTATTGTGAATTCACGTTCAATTTGTGGCAATTCACATTTTATTTGCCTTTTAGGTGACCATATGCTAAGCCACTTGTTGATAATAAATCATTTCCCCCCACCATTTCTGATCTGGATTTGCATTCAGTATATGTAGTTTGTTTGCGTTTGTTAGATAACTTGTGTCACATGACCATTGCTGCTTTCCCATGGCAATGAAAAGGTTAAATGTTTGCGCTATTCCTTATGCTCCAGTTCTGTTTCCTGAGTGTATCTCTCTTTTGCTCTTAAGAAGAGAATTATTCATGGCTTGCCTTTTAACTGAGCATTTCTCCCCGCAGGCCCGGTGACAGTAATGTGATTTGACACTGCTGCCGTTTGCTGGCGGTGATGGTACAGAGTGAAGACATTACAGCCATTTATTTCTTAATGATTAATTGATAGAAACCTGTACATACTTTTCATGTCACATTCCCTGTAGCCTAAATATACTGAGCGTATATCTGTATCTTTACACACGTAGGCTCGCGGATCGGACACGCTGGATTCAGGCACTGAAAGCTCCAACCGTCTTATTTCATCCACCGCACCCGGCGGCGTGAAGGGAAAACCCAGCAAACGGTAGGATGGGTAGAGGTGGGCCATTGTGCTTTTAACATACCCGTACCTTGATGGCCGGGGCAAATGAATTCCTTGTTTAATAGACCTTTTAAATCCAAACCCACCACAAATCCCTGGGAGTTATTGTCCAATTAAAACGTGAAGTCATTATCTGACGCTATGGCGTTTTATGTATCATATCTGTTATATAACCTCTAGAAAATAGATTGTTTTATTGGATTTCATTATGTTTTAAAATAAATAGTTCAATGGTTACAGTGTTTATTACCAACAACCATCAAATGGTCAGAACGACGTCTTTTTTTTTTCTGTACTAACATGCATGGCACGTCTGTGGTCCTCTATCTTGTACAGTGCTGTATAAACTGCAGGATCATATTTTTAGATCAGTGAATATTCCACAATTTGCAAGCGTTACTGGATCACACACAATACATGTGGAAATGGTGATGTCTTAGGAATCTTATTTAATTGGACTGATTCACAAGTAGCATGTGATTAAAAAGGGCTGGAATAGTGAGAATTCAATATTCGGTAGCTTGGTGTAGGGCAGGAACAACCTCTCAGCCCTACAAAAAGCCACAGGGTCAGAACAGAATAACAGTGTAGGGTCCTAGTGACAGACACTTTGTTTTTCTCTGTCTTTTACAGGATAACCAGAGGACCATTTGTGAAACTGGCGGACTGCGCTCACTATCATTACGAAAACGTTAACTATGGTCCCATTCAGGTAAAGGGCTAACAATCAAGCTGTATCCAATGCAAGGGTGGCAAGTATTGCAGCTTATGGACGGCTGCTCCCATGACTCTGTCAGCCAACCAATGTAAAACGACACTTTGGCTGGGAATTGGTGTTTGTGTACACAGAAACATTTGTGCTGGTATAAGAGTTAGTCTCTGTCAGTCTGGCTCCGCTTAGTGGGAGTTTCTGTAAGATAAGTGTGAGATTTGTTTCAGGCCCCTCTTCCACCAACATGCAGTGTATAATACTTTAATGTTTTATTGTTACTATCTGAACTATATACTGACACATTTTAACTCTTTATATCCCAGCTGTCTATCTCTGACTCGCGTCCAGAGGATTCTTCTGCTGCGGAGACGGATGCTATATACATTGTGCAAGTTACCTGTCAGGTAAGTGAGACTGTAAAAAAGGCAGGGGTTAAAGGGATATTACAGCCTTGTGACAAGTGAACCTTTGATAACATCCAATGCCTGTGTGTCTGATTAATCTCCATCTCTGAGAGTAAGACCAACTTAAAAAAATGCATAATCGATATGGCTGCCTGCCTGTCTTAGCCGTGATCCCTGGCAGCCTGCGATTTACCCATAGTATCCAGGAGGGAAACAAACGATTAACTGTCATTCAACGTTACATTTTTTTAAATCACTGTGTATATACAAAAAAAGCCATTAAAACAAAAACCCAAACACAACATATCTATCTATCTATCTATCTATCTATCTAATCTCTCTTGATAAAAGTCCGGTTGGACTGAAACGTCAACACTTTGTATTTGTATTTGAACATTGATTGCTGAAATAAAAAGCACTTTTGAAATATTCTGGAGTCCTGTGAGTGCTCGCCATCAAAACATTGTATACAAGGGCCGGAAATTGCATCAAGGCATAAACAAGACCAGGAGCAGTGAGTGCAGGACACTTGGAAGTATATATATATATATAATTATATTTACAAGTTGCATTAAGAAGTACCCTTCTCTAAAATCCATCCGATCCTGCGTTCATTAAAACGGCTTTGTGATTCACACTGTCATGGTTTGTGATCTCCGGATCAGAGCTGGGGGCTCTCCATTTAAAGAGAATTACTCACTTTTGTGTGTGTTCGCCTTGTTTTGCTCAATGTAAATCAAAAGACAGGTAAAAATAGACCTTTCAGTATTAATGTGACCTGAAAGCTCCTTATTTTAACTCGGCAGAGCATAAAAGACTGTCTTTTAATGCAGCTTTGTAGAAGGTCTAGCAGGTTTCTGACACTTGACAAACACATTTAAAGTGACATTAAACATTAATTTCAAAGTTTGTTTCTTTTCCATAACTGCGTCCTGAGTAAGCAATCCTGCAGTGTAGCGGCTGTGGTTAGGCAGTAAAATGCTTTCATTACTGTATCACCTGCACATTGTGATTGACTGATTGTAACCCGTATTCCAACATCTGAAGGGACTTTAGAAGAATCTTAAATGTCTGTTACACAACACCATTTACCCAGAATTCATGACTCTGCTCTTTTAAACCTAAAAAGTGCAATTTGTCGTCATTTCTCTGCAATTTCCAATTTAGCGGATAAACCCCAGTGAGGTTGACATTCTAAATATGAAACCTCTTTGATTTTTGGGTGACGTGTTCGATTTAACTGCTGTTTAAAGTTCAGGTCTTTTTCCTTTTCTGTTTGTTTCTAAGACCTGTATTTTCTGTAAATCTGTTTGTATTTCTTTTCTCTGAAGCACAGACAGGTGAGAACTCACAGCGCACAAAGCAGTGAGTCAGCTTTACTAAGCTGCACACAAATAAACTCCACTGCGTGACCAAGGAGTACTGCCACCTTTACGGATGATATGAGTGCATCTTCTAATTTGTACAAATACTTATACTTATTTCTTTTTTTAATTTTTGAAAAAATGTTTTGATTAATAAAAATATACTCTGACAACACAACTGTCCTGTGAAAGGCACCAGTGGGGCATTCCATGGAAATCCACTTGCATATCCCATAATCCTCTAGCACATTCTTGAATATTTGGGAAATAAGGGTCTTGAGTGTTTTTGTGCTAGAATAAAACTTGCTATTCTCTTAAATAAGACAGTTTCTTCTTAATTAAAAAGATTATATGAAGTTCCTTTAAAAGAAAGAAGATTGTCTCTAATAAAACAACAAGCCTATTGTCCCATGTTGATTCCAGGGAAACACCTTAATACGTGATATCTATTCTAGTACATGGGGGATCTTTTTACCCTGCTATGTTTTCCCAATCCATGATAAAAAAATAGTATTTAGAAAAATACCTTTTGTTGGTTTTCTGTTTAAAAAAAACACTTATTTTAACGTTCACATTGACTCCATGGCAGAAAAGTAAAAAATGGAACTGGATTCTCATGTTTGTTGCTAAATGATTGTGATTTATTTGATTGTGAGTCACCATTGGCCTTTACTGCTGTCAGCATGTTAACCTGATCAGCTGAGAAATGATCAGAGAGATAGAATAACACGGGGACGTTAAACTTACGCTGATTTCTTTGTGAATCATTTCTATGCAGTGACGGTTATATCACACCGTAGTACGCCTTATGACTTTACCTAGCTGGTGGATGAGAAGTTAGCCTCCTGCTTCCATCATGTGCTGAATCCCTGGTGTTACAGATTCTTCAGCTATTTTTGTGAGGTTCTCTGGTAATACATTTCCTGGTGATTTTTTTCACATCTTTTAATCATGATCTCTGCCTCCCTCCAGCATTCAATCAACCCCCGTTTTAGTGACCCGTAAATATTTGAGACTAAGGTTCTGTGTTTGTTTTACTCATTAGATTTAGTAGCTGCGCTTGAAAATGATTTATTAATTAGCCGTTAACTAACTTGCTTCAGTGATTTTTCTTAATTAATACATCATTAAATGAAAGTTAGGAATATGGCCCCAGTGCACCGATTAGGATGATGATTAGAAAATAGATCATACTGCCTAGCAGACCATTTTTAGGGATTGTTTGTTGTTGTGGTGAAGGGCAGGAGGAGGTCTGCTGTCCTGCCCAGGGGATAATGCCATGATTCTCTAACTCGTTCATGATCATTATTTTTATATCCATTTATCTGTTCCATTGTTACAGCCTTTCTTGGTTCTTTTTTCACCTTGCCCTTGCTTTTTGTTGCTTTCTCCAGGGTCGTTCCTGGTCTGTCTTGCGGAATTATGAAGATTTTCGAGTGCTTGATTCAAACCTTCATCGCTGCATCTTTGACAGGCGTTTCTCTCAGTTGCTGGAACTGCCGCCCCGCTCTGAGCTGCCCTCTCAGGGACAGGTGAGAGACTGTTCATCTCCAAATTAGAGAGAACAGAGGGAAGCCATAAATCCTTCCAGTTGCCCCAAACCTTTAAAACTCTCTTTGCCCTGCCTGTATAGGATAGGTGGTAACATTTGTCAGTCACCAACAAAGGGCCCTTTTATTGTACCTTGCTTTAATCTGCCTCCTCAAGGACTGCTGAAGGAATTCACCAGTCCCTTCCAGCTTTCCCTTCCTTCATTCAAACTGCTCTTCCAGGGGCAAGTGTATTAATTCGGGTAAGATAGCTCACTGCTCAGTGACCCCACTGCAGTATTGCTACCACCTGTTTGTATCTCCATGTAACCGGCTCATTTTCATCAGGGCTATCTCAGTCTTTCATGATTTCTAGGTCAATACAACGAGGACCAGTAAGATGGGTAATAACTTTTTTGTACATTAAAGAAAGTAAAAATAAAAAACCTGCATATTTATTGTGTATTGAAACAATTTGTGAAGGTTGAGCAGATATTGCCCCCACACTGCTATTCCACTACAACTAAAGGATCCATTGGTGGCCCCTTCTTCTACACCAGGGGAACGGTGTTGGCTAACTGCCCTAAATTCAGGAGATAATCAAATTAAACAGTGCCATCACAACTCCCTTATTTATTCGTGAGTTGTGGGGGCCGGGGAAGAGCTCGCTACCACCCAAAATTGCTGAGTCACACTTCTGAGGTCTAGGGTCACTCTGGCCATGCTTTCTGATCTTCTTAAAGAATGTAAATTTTCTTGCAGCAACTCAATCACTGTTACATTAAAACATGTGCTGCTCCCCACAATACTTTATATCGGAGCTGGGGTATAGTTTGTAAAAGGCTTCTTTTTGTCTCCAGGTCCTCGCCCCACTTCTTGCTCGGTATTTGAAGGGTCTCTCGGGAATTGTGGACAGTAATATCAACTGTGGCCCCATACTAAGTTGGATGGAGGTAATTTGTGACTTTTATTGACCCCTTCACTAATCATAAATAATCACATCACCGATTTCTAAACTATATCGAGTTACATAGCCGATTATACACTGTATCGATAGTCACATAGCCGATTATACACTGTATCGATAGTCACATAGCCGATTATACACTGTATCGATAGTCACATAGCTGATTATACACTGTATTGATTATAGATGATCATACACTGTATTAATAGTCACATAGCTGATTATACACTGTATCGATAGTCACATAGCTGATTATACACTGTATTGATTATAGATGATCATACACTGTATTAATAGTCACATAGCTGATTATACACTGTATCGATAGTCACATAGCTGATTATACACTGTATTGATTATAGATGATCATACACTGTATTAATAGTCACATAGCTGATTATACACTGTATCGATAGTCACATAGCTGATTATACACTGTATTAATAGTCACATAGCTGATTATACACTGTATCGATAGTCACATAGCTGATTATACACTGTATTGATTATAGATGATCATACACTGTATCAATAGTCACATAGCTGATTATACACTGTATCGATAGTCACATAGCTGATTATACACTGTATTGATTATAGATGATCATACACTGTATCGATAGTCACATAGCTGATTATACACTGTATCGATAGTCACATAGCTGATTATACACTGTGTTGATTATAGATGATCATAAACTGTATTAATAGTCACATAGCTGATTATACACTGTATCGATTATAGCCGATCATACACTGTATCGATAGTCACATAGCCGATTATACACTGTATCGATAGTCACATAGCCGATTATAAACTGGGTATAAGTGTTAATTAGGGTATTAATTAGTTGCTGATCTGGTTAATTCTAGAACAGTATGCCGAGCCTCCTTGGCAATAAGGGGACTGTAAATAAATAGATTATGGTTCGAATGACTGGAAGTCTCCAGGAAAGTATATTTAATACACAGGAGGAGGAATGGTTCTGTTTGAATAAAAAGCATTGCTGAGATTAAACTATTTTATTTTTCTTCTCTTTGGGATCTAGATCGATAATCATGGGAACCGCCTGTTGGTAAATGAAGAGGCCTCTATCAATGTGCCGGCAATCGCGGCTGCTCATGTGATAAAGAGATACACTGCGCAGGCACCTGATGAGCTTTCCTTTGAGGTGACAATTTCAACTGGAACTTAATGCTGGGTTTTTATAGATTGTGCTATTTTGGTGTAATGCAATCATGGGTGCTTTTTAAACATTCTGTGGCAAATGTGTGAAATTCAGGCTAATACCAGATATTCTACATTATGCTTAGCCGGAGCACCATGTTTCCTGAAATTGATCATTTCTATTTTAAGCATTGATGGCATGAGAGCACACGCCATAATCTCCAGAAAAACTTATTTCAAATTAAATTTGGGAGGGTTGGGAGGAATTGTCTTGCCATGTAGTGTCAGCACTGGCTGTCAGGAAGTGTAATTTTGCCCTCCGGGTTGTCCTGCTGTTGTCTATCGGCTGTAGTTCTCCCCATTTGCTGTTTTGGTTTTCCTGCAGGTTGGAGACATTGTGTCGGTGATTGATATGCCACCTCGGGAAGACACCAGCTGGTGGAGAGGAAAACACAGCTTCCAGGTGAGGGCTCTAATGTTTCTCCATTCACATCTTACATAAGGCTGGCTGCAGTGAAACATCAGGGTAACTTTCTTTCTTTACCAGGTGGGATTTTTCCCCAGTGAATGCGTGCAGCTGATCACAGACAGCAAGAACCCCTCTCCCACAACAGGTATACAGGGTGCGTTTAGCATTTTGGCAAGCAGTATATATGGCGCTGTGGGTTGTGAGTACTGTCTTTAATAAGAAATCCAAGTTTGAAATGGTGTGTGCATAGATCTGTCTGGTTTATTGGGGGCTGCTGCTGCTCTCTTTGGTAGCGTCTGTGGTCGGCTCTGTATGTCTGTTGCATCTGCTGTCTGGTGCTTTGTTTATGGTTATTGCTTTCTGTGGCTGCTGCTAGTGTGAATTGTGCTGTGTGTCTGTAGTTGTGGTTTGTGCTAGTGTGTGTGGTGCTATGCCTCTGCGGTTACGGCCAGTGTGGATGGCACCGTGTGGCTACCGCTAGTATGGATGGCGCTGTGTGGCTGCCGCTAGTATGGATGGCGCTGTGTGTCTGTGGTTGCTCCTAATGTTAATGGTGGTGTGTGGATGGTGCTGTTTGTCTGTGGTTTGTGCTGTATGTCTGTGGTGTGTGCTAGTGTGGATGGTGCTGTGTGGTTGTGCTAGCGCTGTGTCTGTGGTGTGTGCTAGTGTGGATGGTGCAGTGTGTCTGTGGTGTGTGCTAGTGTGGATGGTGCAGTGTGTCTGTGGTGTGTGCTAGTGTGGATGGTGCAGTGTGTTTGTGGTGTGTGCTAGTGTGGATGGTGCAGTGTGTCTGTGGTGTGTGCTAGTGTGGATGGTGCAGTGTGTCTGTGGTGTGTGCTAGTGTGGATGGTGCAGTGTGTCTGTGGTGTGTGCTAGTGTGGATGGTGCAGTGTGTCTGTGGTGTGTGCTAGTGTGGATGGTGCAGTGTGTTTGTGGTGTGTGCTAGTGTGGATGGTGCAGTGTGTCTGTGGTGTGTGCTAGTGTGGATGGTGCAGTGTGTCTGTGGTGTGTGCTAGTGTGGATGGTGCAGTGTGTCTGTGGTGTGTGCTAGTGTGGATGGTGCTGTGTGTGGATGGTGCTGTGTGTCTGTGGTGTGTGCTAGTGTGTATGGTGCAGTGTGTCTCTGGTTGCGCTGTGTATCTCTGGTTGCGTAGGCGCTGTGTGTGTGTGTGTGTGTGTGTGTGTGTGTGTATATAGGTATATAAACACCCGTTACAACACAGATATTACACATAGTAACAGAGATGTGTAGTGTATGGGCTCCAGTCCAAAAGACGACCCATCAGGGTATTTTATCGAGCGTAAAATAAAATAAAACAATATTCACATTAAGAAAGAAATAATAAAGCTTGGTGTCTATCTTAAGAACACCAGTGAGCAGGAAAATAATAGTAAAGCAAATGTTGTCCCCTCTATACCAGCCCCAATATCCCCAATATCCAGCTAGCATACAACAGAGAGGGTAGTGGATGCATGGACTAGCCTTCCAGCTGAAGTGGTAGAGGTTAACACAGTAAAGGAGTTTAAGCATGCGTGGGATAGGCATAAGGCTATCCTAACTATAAGATAAGGCCAGGGACTAATGAAAGTATTTAGAAAATTGGGCAGACTAGATGGGCCGAATGGTTCTTATCTGCCGTCACATTCTATCTTTCTAACGGAAAACCATAAACCCACTTTTGTTATAGGCCCCACCTAAAAGATGTTCGTCACCACAGACAGAAAGAGATTGAAGTGAGTCAGAAGAAAGATGAGTGGGGAGGGGGAAGCCGCAGATACCCCAAAAAAGGAGGCAGGGGGGGCGGGATGGTCCAGACAGGAGAGCCCCAAAAGTGCCCAGAAGCAATCTCTCAGAAAAGAGATCTAGGCAGGGGTATGTCCTCCTGAAGGGATATGATCCTGAGTGACCCCCCTGTAGGGGATAAAGGACGAAACCAGAGACCTTATGAGGCGAACACAGCAGAAAAGCGGTTGAGGTGAGGCACTGAACCCACCCCGCTTCTCCTCTAGCCGCCTACATCACTGGCCATCCAAGGGCCCCAAACCTTTTCGAACTTCTTCATGGTGCCCCGCACTTGGGCCGTTAGCTTATCCATGAGGCAAGTATCCTTGATTTTTTGGGGCAACCGCTTCTACTGAAGGGGTCTCCCTCTGAAGCCAAACCTGTGCCAAAGCTAGCTGCCAAATTTAATTTGTGTAAATGTTTTTGTAAATGTTTTTGTCCAATCATATCCAACAAAAACACCCAAGGATCTAACTTAATGTCTCTACTAAGAATGTCCCTTGTTAAATCCTTAATCTTTGCACGTCTGGACATACCCACCACATTTCAATAGAAGTCCCCTTCTGTCCACATCCTCTCCAACATAAGTCTGTGGTGATATTCATTCTACACAATTTGACGGGGGTGGTGTACTACACATGGTCTTATATGACTGTTCCTATAAAGCAGGGGTGGGAAACCTTTGGCCCTCCAGATGTTGTGGACTAAATCTCCCTTGATGCTTTGCCATCATTATGGCTGTAAGAGCATTATGGGCGATGTAATCCCAAACATCTGGAGGGCCAAAGGTTCCTCGTCCCTTCTGTAAAGTGGCACATATTGATCCCAAATTCCCTGCCACTCAACCTCTTTTAGCGTTTCACCTAAATCCTAAATTAGCTCTCCCCATTCTAAGGTATAGGTGCTAAGGTGGGCGTATAATGCAGTAATCAAACCCCTTGGGAACATTTCCCGTATACACGTTTTCAAAAAAGTTAGCTGTTGTGCAGCTGCCTTCCTAACCTGATCCTCCTGAGCTTAATCCCTGAGTTGAATATATCGGAAGAAATCCGAATGGTTTTAGGGTAGCCCTAGTTTTCAATTTCTCAAAGGGTACAACAGAGCCTCCCTCATATAGATGGCAAAGTCGCTGCAATCATATTCTATACCTTTAAAATCGTGTGCTCTCATACCTGGGGGGGAACGTCCTATTCCTCCGGAACGGCGTCAACGGGGAAGGGGAAGATGCTAAACCATATTTTAAAGCATTAGCGTCCCACAGTTTCATGGTGTTCAGGATTGCAGGGCATGTCGTTCAAAGGCCGATAATCCTTAGGTATCCACATGAAAAACAGTGGTAACCCATTAACAATGACTCCAGATCTCCCATCGTCTTTCCTCAGGGGGAGAATGCCACAATGCGATCTGGGTCAATTGGGCCGCTAGGTAATAAAAATACAGATTGGGCAAACCCAAGCACGGTAGAGTACATTGCTGGACACTGTGTTTTTTTATTTTGCCATATAAATTGGCCTATGGCCTGCTGAAGAGTCGCCAGATTGGATTTGGTGATTTAGACCAGCAGAGCTTGGAATAAAAATAGTATTCTAGGTAGGAGGTAGGACATTCATTTTCACAGATTGAATACTGCCTATCCACAAGATTGGTTTGTCGACCAACTTCTCCATATCCTCAATGAGGTATTAGAACATAGGGATGTAATTTTGTTGGTATAATCGGGTAGGATCTGCTGTAAGCCAAATACCTAAATACTTGAGATGATTGTGAGCTATATGAATGTGGTATGTGTGACCAATGTGTGCCGTGTCTGCTGCCGAGAGGCCAATGGGAATGCACTTGACTTGTTCAAGTTCACTTTGTAGCGCGCTTTTTCACTATATTTCTCCAACATGTCCGTCAGTGCCGCCATGGAGTCTCTAGGGTTTGTCAGGGTTAAGAGCACATCATCTGCAAAGCCTGATACCACAAATGTCTGCCCGACCACCATTACCCCCTGTATGCCTGGGTTGGTTTTGATTGCTTGCAGAAGGGGCTCCAATGATGGCACGCACAACATCCTGCTTGGTGCCATTACTCGGCGTGAGCGTTGCGACCTGCGCCCCCGAGATCCGAATCTGTGCCCTAACATCGGTGTATAGTTTGAATTGCTGTAAAATACGGAACAGGGATGCCAATATGCGCCAATAGTTCGAAGAGATAAGACCACTTGACCCTGTCAAATACCTTCTGACCTGTCTCCAAATGATATCCACATTAGGTCGGGTATTTTCGAACAAATCTCACCTGGTCAGCGTGGATCAATCGTGGTAGCAGATAGTTCAGTCTGCTCGCAAGAATCTTTGCTAGAAGTTTGGAGTCATGGTTTATCAACGAAATTGGTCGAAAGTTTGCCAGTTCCGAATTGCCTCTGCCGGGTTTCGGCAATAAGACAATATCCGCCAAAGACATGTCCCTGTCCGGGGCGGCACCCTCTGTAAGGTCATTGAACCAGGACTCTAAGCGGGGCGATAATTCCTCATGAAACGTCTTGTGATAGCTACCATCAAAGCCATCTGGGCCTGCAGCTTTAGTGCCTTTCAAGGAGGATATGACCAATTCAATTTCTTCAATTGAAGTCAGTTTCCCCAGGTCCGCCGGATCCGCCCCCGCCAATGTTGGGCGCAGGAAAGCCCAAATATTATCAGCTTCCTCCTGAGCAATTAACAGAGTCAGGGCTAGTGTGGTTATACAATTTAGTGTAGTAATCTGCATCTAGTTTTGTGTGTCTCTGGTTTCTGCAAGTGTAAATGGTGCTGTGTGTCTGTGGTTTGTGCTAGTGTGAATAGTGCTGCGTGTCTGTGGTTTGTGCTAGTGTGGCTGGTGCTGCGTGTCTGTGGTTTATACTAGTGTGGCTGGTGCTGCGTGTCTGTGGTTGCACTGTGTTTCTCTGGTTGTGCTGGCGCTGTGTGTCTGTAGCTGCTGCTCTGCCTCTAGTTCTGTGTGTCTCTGGTTGCTGCTATTGTGGCTGATGCTTTGTACACAATCTGTCCGGGTCGTTACTTGTTTCAGCAGCCATCTTACTTTACTGGGGAGATTTCTAGTATTGCTTTGAAGCCACATGTATATAGTTTTTGTGTATTTATTTATTTTTGCTAAGGCTACAATTTGCGCCTAGTACAAGATCTTCTCACCCTTGTGATGGCTCAGATTGCATCCAGCTCCTATACGTTTTGGCCACCTTCTGTGTTTATGAATAGACCCCCATAGTTTGAGCTCAGTATTGTATTTATTGAGTAGCGAATTTTTAGGGTTTTCTGTTTCTCATTTGCCTACTTAATGAGCTGTGATATATGTTGTGCTAAACGCTTAGTTGCCAGTATCTGTCTGATGTGAATGCCATTTAAACTTGCCTACCATAAGTCTCCCTGTGTCCCATCCTGTAACCCCCAACGTGTGCTGGCTTTGTTGGGGATCTCCATGAATGATTAATATCATTGCGCTGTCTCTATGCACGGCTTGCTGAGCGGTCTTGTTTCTTTGTTACCTGTCTGTCTGTTTACAGAGGGTGATGTAAAATTGGCTGTCTCGTCTCCCCATGGCTCCAACTCCCCCAGACCAGGTAAGTTCTCTAGCCATTTGTCTTGTTTCTCCATCCAGCTGGTCGGTCTATAATCCCCTCCAGTGTATACGTTACTCTTCATTGCTTCATGGTGTAATCTCTCTATCAGTCTGTAGGAGACATGGAAAGCTCGCCGGGTTACTGCGCAGTTTCATGGCGTCTCGGCCCAGTAAGCAACGTCTCAGACAGCGAGGGATCCTTCGAGAGCGAGTATTTGGGACAGACCTAGGAGAGCACCTGCTGAATTCTGGAGAAGATGGTGAGGTTCCTCCCACTCACGTTATGGCCTCTGTCCCTAATGAGCAGTTTTACGCATCCTTTGTGATGAGTAGAATCGTGAGTGTTAGATATATCTCATCTCATATACGGATAACCAGCAAAGGTTTATGAGAGAAGATAAGACCCCATAGAAAGGCTCCTTAATGGTGGAGTATCTTCCTGGTTTAGGAGAGGTGTGCCAGTAGGTAGAGAATAAACCATTCCACGGAATCCGTGAGCCTCATCATGTTTAGGGGTGTTTGGAAAGATGGTTAGAGAATAGAATATAATTTCTATCTTGTGATGATTAGAATTGCAAAGGAACTGTATAGAAAAGAGATTTTCATTTTCTTTGCTCTCCTATTTGTGTTCTCACCATTTATATTTATTATTCATAAAAGAAGGAGTTATGTTAAATACTAGTTCTCTTGGTCTGTTACACGTTGTATACGTAGAGTTTTGTGGGGGGGTTAAGATCTTGTTATGTCTTTCATTACATAACTCCCCGTCTGTATTATTCTCTCAGTTCCCAAAGTCCTTAGCTCCTGCTCACAGTTCCTGGAGAAGTTTGGGATAGTGGATGGAATTTATCGTCTGTCGGGAGTGTCGTCCAACATACAGAAACTCCGGTGAGTACCTCTGTGTCTGTGAGGTTGATTCATTAAACTGTGAGTTATAGTAAATTGAAATACAAATGGCAACATTTAGTCTAAAATAGTCAGAGTGCAGTAAAGTCATTTAGCAATTTTAGCCTGGGTTGTGATATTCAGATTTCATCTTCCTAATTTCTGAGTTTAGTGAATCTATTTCTGTCGCTTTCTCTCTCTGACTCTAGCAATCTATCTCTCTGCAAAAGCTGTTATGAATTAAAATAAATAAATAAAAAAATATATACATACACACACACACACAATGAACAAAATTATAAACGCAACACTTTTTTTGTTTTTGCCCCCATTTTTCCTGAGCTGAACTCAAAGATCTAAGACTTTTTCTATGTACACAAAAGGCCTATTTCTCTTAAATATTGTTCACAAATCTGTCTAAATTTGTGTTAGTGAGCACTTCTCCTTTGCCGAGATAATCCATCCACCTCACAGGTGTGGCATATCAAGATGCTGATTAGACAGCATGATTATTGCACAGCTGTGCCTTGGGCTCGCCACAATAAAAGTCCAAGTTACGACGACGAACTACAGTCAGGTCGAGATCCGATGAGAACGACGAGCATGCAGATGAGCTTCCCTGAGACGGTTTCTGACACTGTGTGCAGAAATTCTTTGGTTATGCAAACAGATTGTTGCAGCAGCTGACCGGGTGGCTGGTCTCAGACTATCTTGGAGAAGATGGTGGATGTGGAAATCCTGGGCTGGTGTGGTTACACCGGTTGGATGTACTCCCAAATTCTCTGAAACTCCTTTGGAGACGGCTTATGGTAGAGAAATTAACATTCAATTTACGGGCAACAGCTCTGGTGGACATTCCTGCAGTCAGCATGCCAATTGCACGCTCCGTCAAAACATGCAACATCTGTGGCATTGTGCTGTGTGATAAAACTGCCCATTTTAGAGTGGCCTTTTATGGTGGCCAGCCTAAGGCACACCTGTGCAATAATCATGCTGTCTAATCAGCATCTTGATATGCCACACCTGTGAGGTGGCTGGATTATCTCAGCAAAGGAGAAGTGCTCACTAACACAGATTTAGACAGATTTGTGAACAATATTTGAGAGAAATAGGCCTTTTGTGTACATAGAAAAAGTCTTAGATCTTTGAGTTCAGCTCATGAAAAATGGGGCCAAAAACAAAAAAGTGTTGCGTTTTTATAATTTTGTTCAATGTATATGTGTGTGTGTGTATGTGTGTGTGTGTGTGTGTGTGTATATATATATTGTCACAAAAGTGCAATATTTTTTTCCATCACTTTGTAGCAGATGGTGCAGTACTTGATGTGACCATGACGTCTTTTTCTGTGTTCTTACAATTTTGGTTTCCTCTGCCATGTTTTTGAAGAGAGCTCAATGTGCTATTCTGATAGCAGGGACAATGCTCTTCTTGTATTTTGCTCCCTTTCGTGCCCGTGGGGGTCATTTTTATAAATCATAGAAGGTACTGGTGTGTGATGCCATAACATGTAGCCGGGTAAGGGGCTGATTTTGGATCATGGAATTGCCCCTTATTATCCACTGATTTATTATGATGTTGTTTTTAGTTTGTGACTTTCTCTCTTTCTAAAAAAACTGTGCATGTTGGGGTCTTTACTTAATTCATAACTCTTGTTTTTCATCTCTCTAGACACGAATTTGACAGCGAACGAATCCCGGATCTCTCTCGAGACACTTACCTGCAGGACGTGCACTGCGTCAGCTCCCTCTGCAAGCTCTACTTCCGTGAATTGCCTAACCCACTGCTGACTTATCGCTTATACCATCCATTTACGGTGAGCCAAGTCATTACAATGCATTGCAGTTTAACTGTGGTGATTCCCCCTGTGATACGGTTACCCTGTTATAGCAACTTCTACAATAATTCACTGAGGTCTAAAGAACTGTAAATGTAAAGTGGAATCAAATGGAATTTTAAACAAATAAGGAAACGATCTGTGCTGCTTTTTATAAATATATATTTTGTTTCTTTGTCATAAAACCTCTTCCTCGTAGGCCCTTTGCTCCTGATCATTTATGCTCTTTGCATACTGAATGTCCTCAATACACTATCTTAATTAGCTTACAAATTATTTTACTTGTTTTGAAAAATGTTGCCACGCAGCAACAATATATTTGTTATTCTAATTATTGAAGTGTTGCTTTAGGTAAATGGTCTTATTTAAGGAGAAATAAAGGATGGTGCGATATCTATTGTAAATACAAACGTGATAAAACTCCTTATTCTAAGTCATTCTCGTCACGTCATTCTCTCTCCATTTACTGCGGTAGGAAGCCATGTCTGCGGCCACCGAAGAGGAGAAGTTAATCCGTGTGCACGATCTTATACAGCAGCTGCCTCCACCGCACTACAGGTAATAAACATAGCAAATTATCCAACCAGAAGCTTGCTTTGTGCGCCTTGATAGTTTCCACGTACGTACTGGAGTTTGGATGTTATCACCCAGTTTAATGCTGCTTGATTTATTGACCTTGGAAGGATGAAAGGCTAAGATGATCTTGCTAGAAATGGCACCTGAAGTTGGAGCACTAACTACTGAGTTATCTTAACGTTGATAAGTAAAGGCAGATGGTTTAAGATTCGGTCATTTGCCCCTGCTTTTAGATTTCATGCATCTTGTCCTTCATTGTAATTCTAACCCACTCAAAAGATTACTGACACAAAGCATGGACTACTGTGTCGCAGTATTTTTTCCTCTGCTTGACAAAACGCAGAGTCTAGCTTTGTCAAAGCCTTTCCTTTTCCCCTGCGACATCTTAAGGGGAAATGCTCTGCCTATGGAAGATAGCGGTTAAGTGGGACGGCAATGGAGTGTTCTTTTAGCTAAAGTCTCTGGGATATGTGGACAGATCGCTTGGGAAGATGCTGTCCTATTTTTAACATTCATTAAAATAGTGATTTAATAAAATCAGAATGGTAACTGTGTATGCAGATCCATACACGTAAAGACGTTTACAGAACAGGCCTCCAGAAAAATAGTTTTTATTTAAAACCAATAATGTTTAAGCACAGTGTTTATGTAGGTCTAGATGTATGACATTCCTGCTACTAAGTTTGCGTTTCTACTTTTTTTTTCTCTTTAACCTTTTCACTCCCGCAGGACACTTGAGTACTTGTTGAGGCATCTGTCACGGCTTAGCACACACAGTGAGCGTACTGGAATGCACGCACGGAATCTCGCCATCATCTGGGCTCCTAACCTGCTGCGGTAAGAAGAAAGCTGTGCTTTAACAAGAGAAACTCTTATGGAGTAATTGGCTTCCCGACCATGACATTCTTAATTTTATATATACCTATTCTTTACCATAATGATGACGGTTATAGGGCTAAAAGCAAATTTTAGCAGATTAAAGTCCTGATTTTTATATATTTTACGATAAGCTTTTCAAATTGTTTAGCATTTCAAAAATGCAAAAAATAAAATAAAAAATAAATAAATATTCCTCGATCTATCTGTGTGTGTGTGTGTGTGTGTGTATATATATATATATGTGTGTGTGTGTGTGTGTATGTGTATATATATATATATATATATATATATATATATATATATTTATTTTTTTATAAAATAGCTTTAAAAGTTTATCAAAAATTTTACATTATTTGACTCAACTTGTTCAAAAATAGGAAAGCAAAATGGAGGCTAAAATAGCTGATTGGTAGACATTCTCCAATTCTTTTATAGCCACAGCTTGGCCATCGGATTTAACTTGCTAAAATTCATTGTTTAGAGAATAATCTTATAATTAAAAAAAAATCCTTAACCACAGCACTGTTGAGTATGGTATACTATAATCTTATATAATGTAATGCTCAGACTGGAGCAATTTAAATGGAGTCCAAGAGAAATGGGATTATTTAAAAGTTGTACTGCTGAAGGCAACAGAAAATTGCATTAGGCTTGTCAGTAAAAGCAAAAAATTCAAGAAACCACTGTGGTACTCCGCAGATGTGGCCAAAATAGTAAAAAACAAAAAGTTAGCATTTAGTAATTATAAAAAAAACCCAGAGTGAGGAAGACAAAATGATCTATAAGATTAGGCAGAAAGAGGCTAAGCAAGTTATAAGAGCTTCCAAATCACACACAGAAGACAAAATAGCACAGTCAGTAAAAAAGGGGGATAAAACTTTTTTTTAGATACATAAATAAGAAAAGAAAAGTAAAACAAGGATTAGTTAGATTAAAAACAAAAGAAGGAAGGTATGTAGAAGAGGATAAAGGTGTAGCTGACTGCCTCAATGAATATTTTTGTTCAGTATTTACAGATGAAAATGAAGGAAAGGGGCCTCAGTTAGGAAAAAGGACAAATGAGTCATTTATTACACGTGAGTTTACAGAGGAAGAGGTTCTATTTCAACTGTCAAAAGTAAAGACAAATAAGTCAATGGGACCTGATGGAATACACCCAAAGCTATTAAAAGAACTTAGTGTTGTACTAGCAAAACCATTAACAGATTTATTAACCAATCATTAACAGGAGTAGTCCCAGAAGATTGGAAGTTAGCGAATGTTGTGCCCATTCACAAGAAAGGTAAAAGGGAGGAGTCGCGCAACTATAGGCCAGTAAGCCTTACTTCAGTAGTGGGGAAAGTGATGGAAACCATGTTAAAGGATAGGATTGTTGAACATCTAAAAACACATGGATTTCAAGATCAGAGACAACATGGGTTTACTTCAGGGAGATCATGCCAAACTAATCTTATTGATTTTTTTGATTGGGTAACTAAAATTATAGATCAGGGTGGTGCAGTAGACATTGCTTACCTAGATTTCAGTAAGGCTTTTGACACTGTTGCACATAGAAGGCTTATCAATAAACTGCAATCTTTAAGTTTGGATTCCAATATTGTTCAATGAGAAAGGCAGTGGCTGAGTGACAGACAACAGAGTGTTGTAGTAAGTGGAGTATATTCGAAGCTTGGGCTTGTCACCAGTGGGGTACCTCAGGGATTTGTACTTGGACCCATTCTCTTTAATATTTTTATTAGTGATATTGCAGAAGGTGTTGATGGTAAGGTGTGTCTTTTGCTTATGATACTAAGATATGTAACAGGGTTGATGTTCCAGGAGAGATAAGGTAAATGGCAAATGATTTAGGTAAACTAGAAAAATGGTCAGAATTGTGGCAACTGACATTTAATGTGGATAAGTGCAAGATAATGCATCTTGGACGTAAAAACCCAAGGGCAGAGTACAGAATATTTGATAGAGTCCTCACCTCAACATCTGAGAAAAGGGATTTAGGGGTGATTATTTCTGATGACTTAAAGGTAGGCAGACAGTGTAATAGAGCAGCAGGAAATGCTAGCAGAATGCTTGGTTGTATAGGGAGAGGTATTAACAGTAGAAAGAGGGAAGTGCTCATGCCATTGTACAGAACACTGGTGAGACCTCACTTGGAGTATTGTACACAGTACTGGAGACCGTATCTTCAGAAGGATATTGATACCTTAGAGAGGGTTCAGAGAAGGGCTACTAAACTGGTTCATGGATTGCGGGATAAAACTTACCAGGAAAGGTTAAAGGATCTTAACATGTATAGCTTGGAGGAAAGACGAGACAGGGGGGATATGATAGAAACATTTAAATATAGGGAATCAACACAGTAAAGGAGGAGACTATATTTAAAAGAAGAAAAACTACCACAACAAGAGGACATAGTCTTAAATTAGAGGGACAAAGGTTTAAAAATATCAGGAAGTATTACTTTACTGAGAGGGCAGTGGATGCATGGAATAGCCTTCCAGCTGAAGTGGTAGAGGTTAATACAGTAAAGGAGTTTAAGCATGCGTGGGATAGGCATAAGGCTATCCTAGCTGTAATTGAAGGCCAGGAACTAATGCAAGTATGAAGAAAATTGGGCAGGCTAGATGGGCCGAATGGTTCTTATCTGCCATCACATTCTATGTTTCTAATAAGAGATCAGAATATTGCCAGGCAGGATAATCCCATTTTGGGATTTTACACACAATTGTTTTTGTCAAGTAATGAGCTGGACATGTGTGGAAGGGAATGTACCTAATAGTCTACTGGTTATAATTTACCTATACAGGTATTTTTCATGCCCATACAGATATTGTTTACATGTATTTATTTTGTCTTCTGTCTCAGGTCTCGGGACATGGAGTCTGTGGGAACGCCTGGAGCAGATGCGTTTCGTGAAGTGCGCGTACAATCTGTGCTCGTGGAGTTTCTCCTGTGTAATGTGGAGACGCTCTTTAGCGATACCTTCACCTCTATTGGTGAGTAAACTTCCGATATAATCACACTTTATATGGCATGTTTTAGATTTTCCAATTAATGTTACTCCATCTTAATGACATTCTAGTTATTTTAAGGTTTCACTATTAGAATTTAGTGTTTGTTTTAGATCGCTCTTCCTAACCTTTATTGTGACAGGGACCCCAAAATAAGAACATGCCTTTAGCTTGCTGTTAAATTATTCTGTTGGAAGATAAGCTCACAGACCCATAATGTAACCCGTTCATTCAATCCTGCCATGTATAAGACAAGGCACAGATTTCATGGTAAGCTGGACACATCTTACGTGCTGGTTCCAAATAATTGGAAATTCTGTTTTGTGTCTTGACCAAATATATATATTTATTATATATGGCAGAACGTATTATACAAACAATAAAGGCACAGTATGCGGCAGGTACAGATTACAATAAATTAGCTTGTAATCTGTTGGCTTGGTAACCCCTGATGTCGTAATAATATATTGTTCCCGGAATACCCAGTTTCTATCGTAACCCTGTGTGTAAACGGTCTCCAAAACCTTTCCTCCATGAAGGTAAAACAAACCGTTATATTGTATCCCTACAAACACGTCGCCAGAATGATCTTCTTTGTTGACTAAGTTGGATATTCAGATACCAGACCTTTCTGCTCATTATATTTTCTTTTCAATATTCTGATATATCTGCATAAACTCGATATAAATAAAGTGACTGACGTCGTCCATCTTTATTTCCCATAATTTCACAGGAGGGCCCGTCTTTTTTACTATGATGAGAAATCCTGCATAGACCACATTTTTTTTTTTACATTTAAATTACCTGCAGAGCAAAGGTGTCACGCCCTGTCCCTTTAAACATTTTATCATTCCACTAAATAACATGTGATAAACTGGCTAATTTGGATTCCTTTAATTATCATGTAATCAACTGATTTTGTTTATCACTGAATATCTAGTGTTTCTGTCATTACTAAAGAGTGTAGCTAAACTCCTCTGTAATATGACCGAAGATTCTTTCCTAATGTATTAACAAGCTGAAACTTTGGAGGTCTGCTGCAAAAGAGCAATGGCTGCCTCCTGATACATTTGCTCCTAATTGTCAGAAGATGGCCGATGCCGATGTACATAAGTTAACTTCCAGTATAATTTCTCTTGGTGAAACACTGCATGTAGTGAGCTTAGTTCTCTAGCAGACCTGGTTGTACAGTGCTGTCAGTGTGCACAGAACACACAGGCGTACCCTTGACCAGGAATTTGTGGTATAGTGTAGAAACATTGCCACTGTTACCGTCCATGGAGCCTAGGTATTGCTGTGAAGTCAAACGGCTTGCTGACAGTTGTGGGATGTGTATTTTCTGTGATTCAGACCCTCATGACAGATTATCCCTCCAATGTTTTTTTTTTTTGAAACTATTATTGTCCTTGCCATTTATATAGAATGAATGATTCCACAGCACTTTACCATAAACAGATGTTTGTATAAAGGGGGGGGTGGGTGCGGCATTAGTGAATGCTCAGTCTTAATCCTCCATCTCCAGCCTGCAGCAGCTGATTGCTACTCACACGCTCCTTCTCAATCTGTTAAACTATTGTACCTGATCTGTCACTGGATGGCGCTTTTGGATCTTGCCCACACACTTCTCTCTGGCTTTCTGCTGGACAAGATATATCTGTGGTTTGCTGAAGTCCCCTTTGGTCTACACGTCTCCCTGCCTGCTGCTGCCACTTGCTTTCTTCTGCCCTAATCCTTTCTATCCATGCCACTTCCACGGCTTTTTTCTCTTCTACTTGCCCTATCCTTTGCTGGACCTGCTTCACCACGCAAGCTTGGAAAGTCAATGGAAGAGACCTGCCGCTATCTTTGTCCACATTGTCTTCTATCCCTCTTTACCAGCAAAAGCGACCGGCCTCCGTAGAGCATCTTGCATCTCAATTAGACCTCGTCTTCTTACACTGCCAGAAGCCTGGTACCAAGTACAGAACAGGCGATGTGGGGTTCAGTCCCCTACCGATGGAGGATGCCGTGCAGCAGAGACCGAACAAGTGAGGACTGACAGTTAGTGCGCGGATTGAACACCGTATGTGGGTCAGATGGACACATCCCACATTACAAGGCCACCATTGTGGAATATTCAAAGACATCTCTCTGAATGTGAACAGATTTTAATATTTTATAATGTTTGTTTACTTCCTGGAAGTAAACTCTAACCTGTTTAGTTTAAGAACAACTTAAAATCCTCACTTTAGTGATAGAATACCTTCAGACAAGCCGATGATCTATGAAAATGTTCATGTCCGTCATGCAATAAAACAGGATAACAAAAATGAGCAATTTTCCTCCATACATAATTTCATGAGCTTCAGTGAAGATTCACTCTCTGTCCCTGCTGGATGAGGTGTTGCAATGTATTGAGACCCTGGCTGTGTATAACGAGCAATTCTGGGTCAAAGTTCTAAAAGTGTAGCTTTCATCACGGAGATGAACAAAATGTTCCTGCTTATTTATTCGCTTTTAGATGTTTGTCCCGGAATTACTCACAATAAATAGAGAACATCGTCCAGCTCCAAGTTACAGTATATTTCTCTGTCCATTTTCTTGAACACGGAGACTCCTTTCCAGGGTGTTTATCTGAATGAAGGAGCTTTATATCTTCTGCAAGCCATTCCCACCACGTGCTGTACTGGTATGTATCTCTTGGCATTCCGAGCCCAGCCGATTATACCTTGTTGGAGAGCACACCTCTTCTGTTCTCCTGCCCAAGGAGTCTTGGCCTGGATTTAATGCAAACTGAATTAATGGGGGCCTGGCATAGAGGTAATGGGTGTTTGTGTACAAAGTCAGCTTGGCTGGGTGCTGCTTGGTCTGTTAGGGATTGTATGAAGTGTATCAAGGTAGCTGTTCATGTTACAAAGGCCGATTGTTTGTTTTTCCTTTTGTTGTTTGTACAGTATTGTCCCATCAGAGCCTACAAGGCCATTACACTGATCTGTTTTCTGTTTTAAATGAGAAAAGATTAGCACTTTATCGAGTCTTGTCTGCAGAGCTTGGCATTGCTAATTGTTGTCTAACACTAAGCTGTCTTTTGCTCCTTTTGTTAAACTGTGTAATTTCCTGCCTAGGTCGCTGTGGGCCAATCCGGCCTCGCTCGCTGATGGGTGGCTGCCCATCTGGCCGTCTTGTCAGCCTTCAGGAGGCTCAGGCACGGAGCCAGAGTCAAAGGGAAGCAGCTGAGAAACTGGGTGCAGAGAGGACATCCCCAAGCAAACCGGAGCGGATATTGGAGAACATTGAGGACAGGTCGGTTTCTCATTTTATGCGTGCTATATTGGCTACTTCTTATCTCCAGGTTTTCACTGTCTGCCTCTATTTATCTCACTCGCAGGAAGCTGTCTCGTGGACGGAAGAAGTCGAGTGGAGGCAGCAGCTGGAGGACTTTCTTTGCTATTGGAAAAAACTCGTCTCAACACAAAAAGTCTCGTCCTGGTGGTATCCGGGACTCTGTAGCACGCCAAAGAAGTAAGTACATACCTGCATTTTGTCTTCTCCCTCCACACCCATCTGTCTCTTTAATTGCACACTCACTCTGTGCATATTGTCTCATTATATTGCATTCTCTCATTCCCCCAACAGTCTCTGAAACAGTCACTCTGCGGTCTGCTAAAAGCGAGGAGTCTCTGTGCTCTCACACTAGTGGAACTGGTACGTGTCGTAGAGGAAATTCGGTGACTCTCCATGGGCCTGTCCCACTTTTTCTCAGCCATTTTTTATCTCTACCTCCAAACTATAAATACAATGATGTGTGATTTCAGTTGCAAAATGCAGGCTTTTTTAATGTTTATTTGTAGCATTTTTCGTATTTTCACAAACTATTTCTGTGCGATTACCAGCAGGGGGCACCCACCCACAGCTTCCCATGACTGCATTGTTTATCAGAGCAGAGATCCTGGCTTGGGCGATTTGGGCAGATGAATCCGTCAACATAGATTGTAAAAATTCTGTCATTCTTTTAATTTGCTCTAACGTCCTGCAGTCAGTGTATATCTGAATCAAACAAATAAAAGTAGTCCGTACTCATTGTTTTATTTTGTAAATGTTGCTTTTTTTTTTATTAGTATTTTATTAATACAATCTCACTTGGACATCACAGCCTTTTTCTGGAAAGGCACAGAGAAGGCATGTAACGGAACTTAGTGCACGTTTCTCATTATCCAGAACTGTACATTTTATTTTTTATTTTTATTTTTTTGATAATTTTAGTTTTTGCTTGTTTGTTTTATTTTTTTAAATCCCCTCTATCATTGGAAACTAATTCTGATAAACATTAACCCCTTAAGGACCAAACTTCTGGAATAAAAGGGAATCATGACATGTCACACATTTCATGTGTCCTTAAGGGGTTAAAGCAATCTAAACATAATTTAATTCTACTAAAAGGAAGTAAAGTTTCTATGAAATGCCCTTTTTTAAAATTCAGTGTTATTTTGTTTTTTTCTCTTTTTGTCATGCCGTTGTGTTGTGGTTTTCGTTCTAATGCCTGTCTCATTGTGTGCTTCTCACTGACAGGATTTCAGCGACCCTCTCGCCTCCGACGCCCACGCTCTACAAGTGATGGTCTCCCATCTCGAATTCCTCATTGTCACTCAGTTGAGAGTTTGGGACCATCTTCACCCTCTCCGCCATGTGTGCCATCTCCCCAAGGCTCTGCACGTCCGCAGTCGGCATGGATTGAAGAAGATCTTGATCTCTCTCCACCACTTCCTGACACAGATGGTCTCGGATTCGATCCTCTCTCCTTCCGTCTCTCCTTCTCGGACCATGAAGAGGTTCGCTCTCCTGGAACAATTAAAGCCCAAGTGACGAATCAGACTCCGTCTCGTTCCCTGCCCCGCAGACTGAGCCTATCGCCCATGGGAGGGTGTACTCCATCTCCTACCCACAGCCCTCCAGAGCGTCTTGTGGCTGACATGGAGTGCCCAGTCCCCCGTAGCCTTTCTCCTCCCCCACAAGTGCTATCCTTGCTTTTGCAGTCCTGCCAGCTGAATGAGACAGCCGTTCGAGACATCAAAGGGAAGATAAGTGGAGTCTCTGGTAAACAAGATTCTCCTACAAGTGAGTAAAGCTTCACGAATCACATTTTATTTTAGCATTGTTTAGATATAAACTTTCTATCTCTCTGCCGCATTCCCCTCCACTCTCTCAATTTGCTCTCCCCCCCCCCTCTCTGGTTTTTGTCCCCTCCCCCGGCTCTCTCTCTCTTTGCCCCACATACTCTCTCTCGCTCCTGCTTTTTCCTTTGCTTGGTCATTTGTATTGGTTCCATAGAAAGAGAGTATTTTAAAGTCACAATATAATCTAAGCTGTAAAGAATGGTTCTGTACTGTTGGATGTGATGGAAAGCAGTGCCCAGGTCCTATCACAGCTTCTCTAAGCCTCTTGTTCTTTACAGCAATGAGTGAAAGTCTATTTATAAATTGTAGAAGTAATTAGAATTTATTTGCAAACGTATATTATTTTCCATCCAGGTCGGACAGTGTCTCCCAAGCAATCTACCCATCCTCCTTCCCTATCCCTCCTCCGCCAGGTCCCTCCGCCTCCGCCTCCAAAAGACCCAGCGCGGCTCATGGCCTTGAAGCTAGCAGAGAGTGCTCAACGGGCTCTGCAGTCTTCCATGTCAACTGGCACCGTCCCAGCTAAACCATCCCTGAGATCTGGGCCCACTCACCCCGCAATGTCTGTGTTTCGCCGTTCTCTGTCTATGGAGTGTAGTGAGATTACGCTAGCCAAGGAAGGACCTCTCTATTCAGAACTGCGCCCTCCCACGCTGATTCCCACCCAGCATCGGCCCCTGAGGAATCCTGCACACAGTACGCTGGTGAGGGGCATAGTGTCTGTCTATGCATGAAGATAACCCATTCTTTTAAACTTATTAAAATAAAAACAAAATAAAGATTTTTAAAACTGCTGCAAATCCAGCAGCTATGCAGATTCTTTACTGAGCTCTTCCTGCAAGCACTCTAAATACACAGAATACATATATATACATATATATATAGTTTTATCATGAATATTGCTAGTGTAACCACATATGGTGGGAGCTGCGGATCCAGTTAATGCCCCAAGTGACCTGTTCATTAGGTCGCCATATACTAATTACTGCTCTGTATAATTAATTGATAAATGTGGCCAGTGACATTTTAAGTTGGCTTTTTCTCAATACATAGATTTGTTTGCATTCTGCCAGCATTACGTGTAGACTGTTTTGAGTGTTTAAATATTAAGCAGCAAGATTTAATATGTAAAGTTGCACCCGTGCCAGTGATGGGCTCAGACCGTTCCATCGCCAACGCCATTCCAGAGATTGGAGTACATTCATGCCACAATCCGCCATTCCGATTATTTCAGACAGGTTGGCAAGGTTTCCAGGTGCGATACTGCTGAGAAATCAGTCCCCCTCTGGCAGGGAATCGCATCACAATTTATTTGGCTAAAAAATAAATAAATGGCCTTCACATTATCTTAGTTAACATTGTGTTTATCACTATATTAAATCAGTTTAATGTTTGTTCTATTAACCTTCACTTCGACCCCACTATCCATGTTTTGAATAGAAATTCTTGCGTTTTGACCTTGTTTTGTGATTATTTGTATGTTTCATTTTTTCCATTTCTCTGCAGGCTGCTGGAAACTCCCCAGCTGACCTCCGGAAGATTACCCCAACGGTCGCCCCTCCATCTCGAGTCCCCCGTCTTCACACCAGGTCAGGCAGCCTTCCTGTGCCTCCAAGCTTCTGTGCACCAAGGCCTCGACCACCAAATTATCGATTCGTTGAGGAAGGGCCCAGACTGCCTCCCCAGCGCTCGGCACCACCATGGCCAGATCCTGAAGGTCTTTATTATGAGATTCTGGGGGATCCTCCTCACCTTGCACCCCTCAATGCATCCTATGGACTTATCCAGACACCCTGGTCATGTGTTCAGTCTCCTCCATCTCATCCACATCCTGCACCTCCACCGGGCCTTGGTGGCTGGTATGGAACAGCCCTTCCTTCTGACCCAGAACTTTTCTGCTACCAGAGGTGGGATAGGGCACCCCCTGCACAACTGCGTCCATACTTTGTGGGAGGAGGGGTCAGATATCAATATGTGGGGACTCCTGAAAGCAGAGGACAAGTGGGTTTTCCAGAAAAAAACTCCCGTCTTCTCCCAACAGGTAGAAGGGAAGAACCAATATATATGAACCTTCCTCCCAAGAGTGAAATGGGAGGAAACTATCCCGGACCCAGGGACTCTACAGATTTGAAACCTGACCTGCCACATAAACAGCGCCCTGGCCAGCCTCCACCACCTGGACGACAAGAAGGTTTTGGAGGCCCACCACCCATTCACACGCAGCAGCAGCAACATTCACACCCACTCCGTCGGGAAGGTTCATTAAACTTTTTTCGCCCGCCTCAAACAGCCATGTGGGGGACTCAGCCTAAATTCCCTGAAGGTAGAGAGACCCCTTTAATTACATATGAGACTCCCCCAGGAGGAGGCCAAAGAATGGCCTACATGCCCCCTCACTGCCTGCTCTCAGAGGGGGGCACTGTGTATGGGAACCTGGAGCAGAGTGGGACGCAGCACAGATCCCCCACACCAGTAGGACCGCCTGGAATTCTGGGGCCTGCCTGGACAGTGCACTCAGAGGGCCAAACAAGGAGTTATTGTTGAAGGAGGTTCTGATAGAAATAATCAAGTTCCAAACTAACTCCAGCAATGTGCAGCTCTGGCCGTGGTGTTATGTCAATGTGCTGGCATTGGTTCAATTGTTAGACGCCCGCTGTCCTGCCAGTGCGTCGGCTTTTTGAAGCAAAGTTTAATCATTGATAAAAGCTCTGGTGATTGTGCTGGGCATTAAGATAAACTAACTTTTTTTTTTTTTTAAAGTTTTCTGTCACTTTAACCCCTTTGACAGCCAGCCTCCTACAGATTGCAGTTCTTTGCAGTCTCTCCAGATATTGTAAATGTTTTTAAAATGAGCTAATTACAGTTTTGATAACTAGCATTGTGGGTAGAAATTGGCTGAAACACAGAACTGATTCCACATCCCTTATGGTTTTTAATTTTACAAGCCTGATATTCTATCTCCTGCTTAGCATTGGGTATTTGGTTATGTCGTTGTCATTGCAGAGCGCGGTAATGCCATCGTGGGACCATCGCTCATCGATATCGCGGATTGGGTGTAAGCAGATCTTTCTTTTAGCACAGAATCAGACTACTTCTACACTGCAGCCTTTTCCAATCCTTCGTCACAGCAAATCTTTTAGCTTTCATTACTCATTGTTTTAATTAATTAGAAGGCATTTTATAAAGGAATTATTTTTGTGGGTTCTCATTTCCAAAGACATACAGAGCTATTCACTATGGTGAGAATTCAAAGTGAATTTCAAATGTGAGGCCCAGGTAGCCGAACATAGCATAGCTGAATTGGAGAAGGTTTTCAATTTGGCTTTTTTACCTTAAATGTGAAATTCACTTTGAATTCACACGTTGGTGCATAACCCAGATAGAGGTTTATTCAGTGACTGTAAATTATGGATAATTGACAGAATTAACGGAATTGCAGATATTAAACCATAAATGGCCGATTTGGAGTAGATTAACAGTTTGGAAATTTTTACTTTTTACAATTTTAGTTCTGTTGTCAGCACTTCACAATCTTTAGCTACTAAACCCCTTAAAGGACCACTATAGTGCCAGGAAAACAAACTCTTTTTTTTTTTTCCTGGCACTATAGTGCCCTTAGGGTGCCCCCACCGGACTGAAGGGGGTTAAACTCTCACCTTTCTCCAGCGCCGGGCTCCCTTGGCGCTGGGGACTCTCCTCCTCTATCGGTCGTCATCGGCTGAATGCGCAAGCGTGGCCGCACGCATATTCAGCCAGTCTATAGGAAAATCACAGTGAGAAGCGCCTCTAGCGGCTGTCAATGAGACCGCCACTAGGGGCTGTATTAACCCATATGTAACTGCTATGTTTACAGCAGGCAGGGTTAATCCTAGATGGACCTGGCACCCAGACCCCTACATTGAGCCTATAGTGGTCCTTTAACTGCTTAAGGACACATGACATGTGTGACATGTCATGATTCCCTTTTATTCCAGAGGTTTGGTCCTTAAGGAGTTAAGTTGTTTTAAAGGGATGATATACACACCTAAAGCAGCTTATCTCGTTGAATGCTTTATCGGTGACGAGTATGTCTTTTTTTTATTTTACAAAATAAAAGTGTGTAAAAAAAAAAAAAGTGTGGATTTAAATAGAAAGTGGCACTTTTACAAATAAACCGTGTTACACCTTCCTGGCTGTCAATCAGATAACTGGTCCTGTTACTTCCTGGTTTGGTTAGCTGAGTGGAGATAAACTTGAGGCAGCAATTGCCCAGAGCACCTGCCTTGCAAAGACTTCCCATTAAGCTGCTTTGGGAAGTCTGTGATTTGACAGCCACAGAAAGTCTGGGTGGGGTTGGAAGGGGAGGGCTTACAGACAAGAGATCTGCAGCTTTTACAAACTGTTTTTAAATATACCCAAATGAAAAAAATGCATAATTAAATAAAAAAAATGGGTTGTTTGTTTTTGTATTTGGGCAGTGGAGTATAAGAATATAATCTGGTGATGAATTTGAACACATTTTGTTACCATTTGGATCAATTTGATTAGGATTAAGATTATATCAGCCACCAGAATTATTAGAATGAGGAGTTATAGATTTAAATGCAGACAGTACTTATTCTCTCAAAGATCTGCATGTTTAGCAATTTTTTTAAAGCAGCGATGGACACTGATTTATCTTCTTAAAATCCTTTATTTCCCATTATTTTAATCTTTTAAAGCAGTATGTGCTGTTGCTTAGCAACATGTAAATACCATGCAGCCGGTCTCTGTATATGTATTTATGGTTTTTACTAAAAGTTGTTCATTTTAGCTGTTAGTCACAGGTTATTTGTTCATTCTGGCTATTAGTCACAGGCTCCTGGTTATTATATTGTTTCTCTGCTTTGCCTGCCTGGTGTTGGCAGTAGGATAATCTGAGTTTTGGACAGGGAATAGATTCTTTTTGTGCTGTCTTCCACGTTGCTGATGATAAACAGTCCCCAGATGTCTCGGCCAGTAGAGACCTGCCTGTTTGCAATTGCGGGGATCTCGTCCTCGTGTGGGCAGAAATGCATATGAGATTATGCTGTGCCCCTTAGAGAGGTCCACAAAGTGCTCTCCTTAATGGGTTTTGGGTTAATTTGTTAACGTAATGGGCCAGACACTTAGTGATTGCGAGGGGCTCTGCCAGCACTTCGGCAAATAAACCAATTAGTGAGAGAGAGACGAGGTTTGCAAATCCCTTCACCTCTCGAGGTGCTGATTCTGCTCCAGCCAGCTCAGCAGATCATTGCACCATTCAAGGGGTCCGCACCTGCTGAGCGTTACTCTGAATGGATAGAAATATGCAGGGAATTAGTAAAATCTAGAGCTTTTTCTTTTAAAAGCAAAGTGACTAAAATAGGCCACTCTCTTTTTATGTCCCCCCCTCCCCTGTTTTCCTAAATTTTTCCTGAGTTCAATCACATTCATCATTATCCATCCGTTACATCATACCCATGAATTACAGCTGGTTTCAGAGATTGTGTGGCTGGTGCCAACCCAAACGGGGCAGAGCCTGCACTCTCCCACAGTAACTGGCCTGATAGGCAATATCTGCTACTCAGGACCCAGACCTCTGCCTTGGTGTCAGACCAGCACTCAGCCGGCATTGGGCAGATTCCCCATTGATTAAATACTCGGGCCCCAAAGAATGGATACTGAATTGCTGCTGACTACAAATGCAGGATTACATGTTGACAGCCTGAGGAACAAAATACAGGTATCGCAGGTAGGGCATCGGCTCTGTAATGATAGATGGACAAATAGAGCGTCTTTGGATTGGTGAACAACAGAGGAAGAGGACTGTATGCAGAATTCATATGCTTCCTGGGGGAACACACCAATCAATAGAGTTTCCATGGTCTCCTATATTGATTGACTGAGATTGCCTTTGAATTCCACATCCCACAGCACAGCCGTTTCCGTGTGCTGCCCAGCAACGTTATTATTTAATTTATATAGCGCCAGCAAATTCCGTAGCGCTGTACAATACATAAACAAGTTCTATTTGTCCAGGAAAACATGTCGGCTCTGGAACCCCTAACTGGAAAGGCACCTAATGCTCCATGAGATAGAATATCACAACCCGCTACTTCCTCTAAAATTAGTGTCTATGCAACCATTTCCAATGAAACTTTAAAAGAAAAAAAGTTAAATTTTTGGTATCATCTTTTGTAAAAAGGTGGCATTCTGACACGTTACATACTGTGATCTCTGCACGATGTTTACCTTCACACCTTCCTTTAACCCAGATCACAGCCATTTTATAAACTGATTGCCCCTTTTATTTGTTGTTTAATGCTTTCTTTTTTCAGAATTTCTAAAATTGGGCTTTCAGTTCTTGCAATCCCTGTAACTCCCATTGCTCTGTGTGACCTGTAAACCACACACCATGTCGATTGTTTTTAAATTATGTCAAATACTGTGAGACCCCGTGATACAGGGTGCTCCGGATTGGGGGGGGGTCTTTGAATATTGTTAAAGAAGGGGATCACGTATGAAATGTTGCATTTGATCTGCGTTCACTGTTTGCTCGCTGTTTACACGCACAATGCCGGTCAGATGGCAGAGTGTACTGTATTTACTGTAGTGGATTATTGTGACGAGGAATGCTGTCTGCTGTTTGTGGCTTTAACCCCTTAAGGACACGTGGCATGTCATGATTCCCTTTTATTCCAGAAGTTTGGTCCTTAAGGGGTAAAACACTGCAACTAGCATTCATGTAACCCAAAAGGTAATCAGGATTAGTCCGGCCGGGGGACTTTCGAAACGAATGGAGGCCATCACAAGCAGCTAGTGATTTGATCTCTGATCCTTCCAAAAATATAATTCTATAATTTACAAGGCCTAACTAGGGATCCCTAATGGGATTTATTCACTAAACAAGGAATTATGCAATTACAACTTTCAGGCTAAAATAGTCAAACTGGAATAATAGTTAAATTTGAGAATGACATGATCAATATGCCCCTCCCCCATCTCACATGTGTATATATATTAATATTTCTGCATAAATGTAGGCTGGTAGATTCAGGATTTACTAAGCTATGAGCCATGGCTCAGCGAGTGTTTACCGCTTTGTGGTGGGCGGTATTTAACGGGTTAATACGTTGGGAGAGTCTCTGGTCATGCTCACCCAGAAAGCCCCCATGTCCATGGCCAGTCTTCAGCTCGACATATCGTCTGTTACACGTCCTGAAAGATGTGAAACTAATGATGGACATGCCACTGTCCCTGTATATAGTGTATAATTTATATATATGTATATTAACCTCTTTCTTCTGGAGGGGTCTGAAATCTTTGTTTGGGGTAATTTATCAGGATTTAACCCTGTTTTTTGGTGGGGGTTGTCTTTTTACGCTAAAAGTATTAAAAAGGTTCCCTGGTGCTGTTTGGATCTGATTAACATGAGTGATATCTTGGTAACACTTCTCCCCCATCTGCACAAAAATAAAATGTCTCTCTGGATACTTCACCGCGTGTGCGTTATTTCTTTACTGACTTGGAATCTACCTTAAACCAGATTAACTGCTCTGAGAGAGGGTGGGGGGTGTTCAAAAGGTCAACGCGTACTGAATAAATATCAATATCGCTCCCTGGGTTAATGCTGTATTTTACACGTAAACAGGTATTTATTGATAGAGAAAGAAAACAAGAACAATCTCTAAAGGAATGGAGTCTCTCCGCATTCCTGGAGTGCCAGATTTGGAGGAATTTCGGCATTGTTTGGAATGAGGGCGGGCACCGAGGCACCACTGGTGAAAAGCGATAACTGTGTTATTATAAATGGTAAACACCCCATCACTTCCTCATTGCTAATTATATTATTATTATTGGTATTTATATAGCGCCAGCTTATTCTGCAGCACTTTACAATAAGAGGGGAATTTACCAAATGAGACAATAACAACATTTAACCTGAACAATAGGTAGTTAAGGACCCTGTTCAAACAAGCTTACAGTCTAGAGAAGGTGGGGTGTAAAAACACAAAAGCATGGGTATTGAGAAAGACCGTAAATAGACATGGTGGGAAAGTAGTGAGAGTGGAGTGTGGTCCTTTAGGAGAGAGCAAGAGGAAGGTTTGAGAGATAGAAGTTACTCTTGGAGGTCATAAGCAATTCTGAAAAGATGGATTCTTTTTAGTGACTTCTTAAATGATGGAAGACTAGGGGAGAGCCCGACAGGGGTAGGCAGGCTGTTCCAAAGGAAAGGAGCCGTTCGTGAGAAATCCTGCAGGCGTGAATTTGCAGTAAGGGTGAGAGCAGCAGACAGGAGAAGGTCACCAGTAGAGCGGAAAGGGGGGACATACCTATGAATCGGTGGAGAAATGTAAAAGGAGCTACAGTTGGTTAGAGCTTTATAGGTAAGGGTTAATATTTTAAATAGACACCTGTAGGGGACAGGAACCTGTAGGGGACAGTAAGGATCGACTCAGCCTTGCAGCGGCATTCATAACCGATTGTAGAAGGGCAGTATGGCTTCTGGAGAGACCATTTAAGAGAGAATTACAGTAATCCATGCAAGAGATTACCAGAGCACGAACAAGCTCCTTGGTAGCATCTTGCGTAAGAAAGGGACGTATGCAGGCAATGTTTTTAAGCTGGAATTGACCGGTTTTTATCAACAGACTGGACATGAGGCGCAAAGGTGAGGTTAGGATAAAAAATGACACCAAGACAGCAAAGGAGGAGGATCAGTGTTATGAGGAGGAAAAATAAGAAACTCAGTTTTAGAGAGATTGAGTTTCAGATAGCGGGAGGACATCCAATCAGAGATAGAAGAAAGGCAATTGGTGACACGTTGTAGGACAGCAGGGGAGAGGTCAGGGGAGGAGAGGTATATCTGGGTGTCGTCAGCGTACAGGTGGTAGTGGAATACAAATTAATGAGTTTGCCAAGAAAGGCAGTATAGAGACAGAAAGAACAAAAAGGGAAGAACTGAACCTTGAGGGACTCTGACTGAGACAGGATGAGGAGAGGAGGTGTAGTTGGAAAAGGAGACCCTGAAGGAGCGTTGGGAGAGATAGGAGGAGAACTATGAGAGGGCTCTGTCACAGAGACCAAGAGATTAAAGAGTTAGGAGAAGGAGGCCATGATCAACAGTGTCAAAGGCAGCAGAGAGTTCAAGAAGAATTAGTATGTAGTAGTGGTGTTTGGATTTAGCTGCAATTAGATAATTTGTAACTCTAGTCAGAGCAGTCTCTGTGGAGACTGAAGAGGGTCAAGGAGAGAGTTGGAATTGAGGAAGCAATTCAGATGGGTAAAGACAAGTCTTTCTAAAAGCTTTGAGGCGAAAGGGTGCAGGGATATGAGACGATAGTTGGAAGGGGAGGTAGGTTTAAGAGATGGCTTTTTGAGGACAGGTACAACAGTAGCATGTTTAATGGGAGCTGGGACAACACCATAAGAAAGAGAGCAGTTGAAGATGTGCATTAATGACTGCACCAGACAAGGGACGAGAGATCTGATGAGGTGGGACGGTATGGGATTAAGTGGATACGTGGTGGGACGAGAGGAAAGGAGAAGCGCAGCCACCTCCTGTTCAGTAGCTGGAGATAAGTCTTGGAGGGTAGGGATGGTATGGTCCAAGTGAGGTTGAGATGAAGGGGGGAGAATTCATTCCTTAACTGTTTAATCTAGTCAGTAAAGTAACATGCAAAGCTATCAGCTGAAAGATTAGTTTGTGGGGTGGCCACAGCAGGGCAAAGATTATTTAGTTAATGTAATGAATTCCGTCGTTCTGTGTCTTTTTCCAGTTGATTTTATATATATATATATTTCTTCTTTGGTAAAAGGCTCGACATCTTAATATACTTTTATATTAACCATAATTACTAACACGCAATCTGATTTACGGTTTCTTCAGGTTTTTTCTTACAGTTACTGATACACAATAAAACAACAAAGGGTGTTACATGATCATGGATGTTCAACAGCAGATGGTAATTGCTGGACCCCTGAACGGAGAGCTAGTCTCTACATAGATAGACAAATGGACAAGAAGAACAACCTTGTGCAACAAGCAGCAAGTAACAGCAAGACCTTGTGGTGCTTTGTCCCCTATTCTATATAAATACGACCATAATGACAGAGTATAACCCTAGCCATATAAAGACAAGACCCCCAATCCACATTCCAGAGCTCTCAGACAAAAAAAGCCTTGTGACTTATTGATACCATCTGCTACTTATGTAATTTCAGACATCCATAAATAATCAATATAAACATAGAATATGCAATATTCTGCAGTTGAAAGTATTAAAGAGATGACTAGGATTACGGGAGCATGAACTAAGGAAAGACGAAAAGTAGGACTGTTTTGCAAGGGTGAGGGCTGCGCTGTATGAACACAAGACAAATTTATAGTGTAGAAAGTCTGACAATGTGCAGACCTCCTCCAGCAGCATTCAGCTAAATGGGAGCATCTCTGCAGGTAGCGGGTTGACTTAGTGTGCGGTTGTAGGCGTGCCTTCCTTGAGGTGCATGCATGGAACGGGGCTGCAGCAACTAGGGTAGAGGTGAGGGTAGCGTTATATGATGAGGTAGCGAGAGCGGGATAGTAGAGGGTAGGGATGGATAAGATTTCAGAATGGATATCAGTCGAGAGCTGCTGGAGATCAAGAGAATTAAAATTCCTCCTGAGTTGAGGGGATTAGGTTAAGGATATTGGGTGTGGGGACACGCAAAAACAAAGGTGGTGGTCTGATAGAGGAAATTGAGTATTACAGAGATTGGAGACTGTACATGCATTTCAAAAAATAAGATCTAGGGTATTGCCAGCTACATGTGTGTGAGAATTAGCCCAATTGCAATAGCTCAAAGGAGGAGGTGATTGAAATAAGTTTTGAGGCTACTGAGGACAAGAGTGGGTTAATGGGAATGTTGAAATCCCAGAGAATTAGGGATGGGATATTGCTTGACATGCACATAGTCATCCCTTAGGCATATTCCTAATAAACCCACTATAACACCACCCCCAATGAAACACGGACACAGATATTTCTTGGGAAAACATCACAGCTTGTTATTAATAATAATTGTTTACATTTACAGACTATGACCTCTACAAAACAGCAAACCTAAAACAGCATTTATCATAAGACACAAACAGCTACCACAGCCACCAAGGGCATCCTTAACCACTCGTAGAGGTATACAGAGATACCACTACACACCAAGGTTCAGAGCTACCGACGAGCTCGAACCTACCAAACCAATGCAAACATAAACCATTGTTCCTTAACTAGAACTTCCCACCACTAACTAAGCCAACCTACCCCCAATTATCCCCGCCACAGAGCTTGACCACCTCAAGCTACCTGAGAACCATACACACACCTATCAAGAGCCTCTCAATCCATCTTGAAAACCCAAGTTCAAGAAGTTCATACCCACATCAGAAAGATGTACTCTATCACACCTGAAATAGTCAGGAATCGTAGCTTCCAGTTTTTTGTGCCTAATTACAACCCCCTAATCTCTTCATGTAAACCGTCATCGACTGATTAACCTTAATGCGACTTGAAGCTATCACCACAGGGATCCTAGCAAAACACCAATGCATACGCAGCACAATCTCCAACCAAATAATAATTACACCGGGAACTAAACTTCTCACCCTATCCATGTCTCTCTTCATGGACCGAATCAATTCCCTTTGTGGTACAAGGCCCAAATCATTACCCCCGGCATGGATTAAAATACATTCCGGGATTATGCCCTGCCCTATTTTTTCTAAATAATTCATAGCATATGTTACTCCAACAGAAACCGTGAAAACAAAACCAATGTAATGTAAGTGAATCATGAGGAAAGCCCAGCTGTGTGCCCCTAGCTCTAACCGAGGCTCTCCGTTCCACCCAGTATACGAAGGAATGGCCTACTATCCAGGCGACCTGACCTAAAATAGAAGAGAAACACATAGAACCACACATAGTAAGCACTTTCACATTCCTTTCACCCACCCCCAGACTTAAACCAACCAATAAACTTCACGGATTCCCATCAACCAATCTTTTTAACCAGCTCATCAATCAGAAATGAATGTGTACTAAAATGTGAGGCATCCAGACCCAGTCGCCCCAAACACAAGTGAAAAACACAGGCAACCTAATATTTGGACAGAGATGATCCATATTTGTGGATGATAAAAGAACTCCTTGCCCGCGTACGAACGGCCAGATACCGGGAAGCACAACCCACGGGACATGCCCAAGAGCCGGGTAACCAAGCCAATTTGACCAAGCAGCCCTTACCGAACACATCAGTTTTAGAATGACACAGATAAATACCAACCTTACCTTCTCCAACTTCCACATCTGAAATTAGAATGCCCTCGGCCTGCACCCAGCTCCTACTCACCAATTTGCTAATACAAAAAGCTCCAAAAAGGGCCCAAACAAATGCCACCGTAAACAACAGCACTTCATATTGAGAAAATCAAAGATCTTGCAATGCCCCAACCAGCCAGAGGAGCAGGTCAAAGGAGACCGGTTTTCTGGTATCAGGAGCTTTCTTCCCTTTACGGAAACCTTTGAGAGCCTGACGGACCAGAAAGTGCTTTGTCAAGTCCTCCCAACCATTTCATTTGATGAGAAATGCCAACGCAGCTAAATTACGGTCAACCACCGACGGGGAGGTGCCTGACACGAACTACCAACACATAAACCATAACAAAACATCTAGACGTACCTCCGCCGAGTGAATCCCTTCTATACAGCCCCAAGCCGCATCCCATGAGTCCCATACCTTACTGTATGCTGCCCACGTGCTCGGCGCCAATGACTCTCTGATTAGTCTTCCAAGCATGAAGTCCCGAGCTGCCACAGCTCGGCCGGGCAATACAAACCTTCTGCCTGTACTTCAGGAGCATCCACTCTGAATCTCTCCCACTGGAAATGAGAGCGCATCAGCGATTACATTCAAGAAACCCAGCACATGACGTGCACGAAAAACAATATTAAATTGCATACAATGCAGGACAAATTGACGTAGCAGCTGCACCACTGGTACTGAAGAGGCCGACAAATTGTTAACATGTCGGTGGTGGACGCAGTAATCAGTGAAGAAGACTACTTTCCTGTCCTGCAATACGGGACCCCATAGCGACAAGGCCACCAGTAATGGAAACAGTTCTAAAAAGTCAAGTTCCCGAATTAGCGTGCTTGTAGCCCAAGATGCAGGCCATTGCTCAGCGCACTATTGGCCAGAGAAGAAAGGGCCAAAACCAACACTACCAAAGTCAGGCAACGAGACTGTTATCTTCTGAAAGAAAACCTGGCCATTAAACTCATGCAAGAAACATTCCCAAACTCCCAAGTCCTCTTTCATGGGTCCTGACACTCTGATGAAATGGTGTGGCGACCGAACCCCACAGGTGGCTTTAGCCAAGAATCCATTGAACACCCTCCCCACCGGGATCACCTGGCACGTGAAATTCAGGCGCCCAATTAATGACTGCAGTGTGCGTAATGTCACTTTTTTAGATCCCTGCACCTCTGCAATGCTTTTACTGAACGCCCTCCAAAACCGAGACACAAACTGAGAGGAATGCCATGCAGTCGGACAATCTCACGTATAAAGATAAGAACCAGGTCTTGAGAAGATGGCAATTTTTTAAGTGGAATAAAATGAGCCATCTTGGAGAAACGGTCAACCACCATAAGAATGGTGGTATAGGGGGCGTGGTCTGACTGTCGATGAGACCAGACGTGTTCTTCTAGAGCTCCGTTCCACCGGCGCCTAAAGCTATAAACAGCGACCAAAATAGTAGAATTTTTTGCCCTCACATACCCTACTATGGATAGAAGACCTTCTAAGAAACAGCCCAAGAGGACCACGGAGTCCGGAGGCTCCGTTTTGGACCTTCTCACAGCTTCTCGGCATAGCCGCACTGACAGCCAAGATGGCGACGGGAGTTCCCCACACGCATCGCCTGGCGCGGATAGAGAGGCCCTCTCTGCGGAACAGAATACCGTTCTAACAAAATTGGCAGAAGTTAGATCTTTCCTCGCGGGGGAGATCGCCAAATCGACGGCGGTACTACAGGCAGATATTTGCGCCCTGGGAGAGCGTACTGCTAAACTGGAGGAACGTGTGGAGGCGACTACACAGGCCCACAATGCCGCTGTCGACAGAGTGAATCGCATGACGGCCCATGTTATTGACATGGACCTGGCCCTGGAAGATATGGCCAATCGCTCTAGGAGGAATAATGTCCGCCTGAGAGGCTTACCAGAAAGGCCAGAGGAAGACTTACAAGGGCTGCTGATGTCGATCTTCCAGCCCCTCCTTCCACACATTTCGGAGGAACACTGGCATATGGAGAGAGCTCACAGGGCGCTGAAGGCGCAAAGAGCGGAGATCAATACCCCGAGGGATGTCATCATAAACTTCCTATATTATAAAACCAAAGAGGCTTTGATGAAAAAGAGTAGAGAGGGTCCTATCCGACATGATGGAGCCCTTATCTCTTTTTACCAAGATCTGGCCCCTTCGACACTACAGAGGAGAAGGGACTGGCGGCCCATCACTGGGGCTCTGAGAGGGGCAGGTGTGAAATATGCATGGGGCTTCCCCTTTAAATTGATGGTTTTCCGAGATGGCCGGGCGCACATTCTGTCACCGGGGGGAGACCCGAAGCGACTGTTCCAGGGCCTAGGACTACAGCCTCCCCCGGATCTGCCCAACTTGGCGATGGGACCGGAAGAACTGCCGCAGATGCAAGCTGAGTGGCACGGAGTGGGACCGAGAAGCCAACGTTGATCCTAGCGGTATCGTATAACCCTCTTATACCTGCAAGGGATAATTTTTTCCCCCCCTTTTTTCTACATAACTGTGGGCAGCCGAGACTTTTTTCCTTTTGTTGGGCGGGGGATGGGACTGGGGATTCGGAAGCATTTATTGCGCTTGGGCCTTCCCTCTGAGTCGGCTGTTATGTGAACGCCTTTGCCAGGGAGATCGGGGGTTTTTTGTTTTTTGACCCCCGGTTGACCCTCACTTATCCCGCAAGTTAGTTACCATGAGACAATGAGGGCAGTGACGCTGGGGTACAGATGCTGACGCTACTCCCCCTGGATCTGGCCCACTGCATCACATGTGTTTGTTTTTACCCTTGGTTTTTTTGTTTTTTTTTTTTTTGGGAAAGAAGTTTGTATATGGAATTTTTTCGAATCCGGACTATATAATGTGGTTTTTTTATGTGAATGTGCCCCGTTGATGGTATTGTTGGGGTTGATTTATGCAGCTCGGGGTCCGCAGGGTGGGTTGCCCGCATATCCTCACACTAGGCGGTACCTCCCCTATTGGAGTTTTTTTTTGCCCCATTTTCTCTTTTTTCTCTCTGGTTGGCTCCTTACCCAGTGACCCGAGACCTTCCCCCTAACCAGGGAGTTAAAGCTTAATTTACGACAAAACACAAAATATAAAAATTATTTCTCTAAAAAAAAAAAAAATAAATAAAAAAAAATAAATATATATATATAACAAAAAGAAATAAAAATAATATGTTTTGTATAGGGAGGGGCGGGGTTGACGGGCATAGAATGTGTTACTTGTAGGGGTTCGGAAATCATGGGGTAAGTGGGCGGACTTTCAGTAAAGCATGGTTTAGGCCCACTTTCATGGTAGGGGTGGCAATAGATGCATGTGATGGAATCGGAGGGCTGAAAAATTTTAAAATTTATTTGCGGTTTTCGTCATGTTAGAGGTTTCCCTTTTTTGAAAAGAGGGGTCCCAAACGTTATGCCTTGAGAGGGGAGTTGGGCAGTGATTAGTATTCCTCCCCCCCTGCAACTTCCAAAGGGGATATGAAAATGGAGGGTAGGACATAATGTGAGATGACCACAGGAGGTAGGAAACAAAAAGGGGCAGTATTTTAAACTTGACGAAGCCTTACTTAGTTTTCTCCACTGAAAAAGAAATGGTATACTTATGCACATAACTGTGCACCTGACCGGTGATCCAGCATGTGTAGCTGTTCTCTCCCCCCCTGGGATTGTGAGCCCCGGTTTGTGACTTCCGTCGGTGGGCCTAACCCCGGGCGCCCGCGGACCCGCTTTGTTTCTCCTCGGACGGGGGGAGTGGGCCGCGTTCGCCCCGGGGGGGCTACCATAGCTGGGATAATATGGGTACCGCTGCCTCCTGTGCGGCTGCTTGTCCCCTCCGGCTGGCCCTGTGAGTTTTTTCCGGGGGGTCAGCCGGAGGGGGTGACCACCCGGCCGGGTGGGCGGCGGCATATTGGGGGAGGGGGAGGGGTTCATCGTTTTCAGCGGGTGGGGGGGGGGTGTTGTGGAGGTCAATGTACGTATCTCTCTCTCTTTAGTTCCCTATCTTAGTTTCCAGTTTTTGCCGTAAATATTTATTGATAAGCAGGTTAGATCGCGGTGGCCCCAGATTTATTGGCACACACATTCATCGTGAGGTCTCCCATGGTATGATTGCCGGTAGAGAGCCGTGGAACTGCCGAGCTCATGGTCACCATCCTGGCTCCTCGTGCCAATCATAGGGAGAATGCCAAGATCATGACTCCAATAGGCTTGGCAGGGAGGTAGGATGTTTACCGGGCCAAAGAGATCAATGGTGGACGGGGACTAACGTTGAGTTCCCCGAGTGAGACCGGCACCGAGGCGGGGGGAGGGCAACGAATGGTAGTGGTTATTAAGTGACAAATGAAAAGGGTTTTG